CCCAGCAATTCACATGGAGCCTGATCAACCTGACGTTCAGGACCCGGTCCTTTTAAAAGGAAAAGGGTCCCCACCAGGACCAACAACTACGCCTTCTGATGCGGCGCAAGTGGCCAAAGACAACCTTCGAAATTCGTGGTTTGGACTAGACCCCTGTACAAGAATCAGGGTAGATGGGAAACGGCGATCCTTACCCTCCCACCAATTCACATTTCGAAAGGCAATATAAGAAGAATGGCCTGAACCAGGAGCCCCCGAAAGTCAGGTTACATGTGAATTGGTAGAAGGGTACCTCAATGGTTCTCCTGTCGCCTCCCCCTCGCGACCAAATAAAAGGCCCTCAACAAGACACACAGTGTAGAAGCAATTGGGATCAGTCCTATGTTAGGTCTTTACTTCTGCACTACTTCAGCTGGAAACCCTAAAAACAGACTTTGAAGGTTGGTTCGTGGCGTGAACCTTTTCTCTTTTTCAAAAAACGAGACCCCAGCTAGGTCCTCCAGAAGAGAGGTGCTCGAATAAGGGTACCCGATGTTTGTTTTTTTTGGTCTATTTTAGTAGGGGAACCCTCCCAACCAAAAAAGGGGAGAGAAGCGCATTCAACAACCCAGGTGCTCTAGGGGTTGATTCCTTTTCCATTCTTTTCGACCATCCTTCTTTTCAAACACCGGCAGGCTGCTTCCTTTAGGTCTTCGATGGTTTCCTGGAAAGACTCGGATGCCTGGAATGGAAATGGAAAAGGTACCCTTGCCCAGCTCTGGGGTCCTTTGCTGGAGCGAGGCCTCCAAGCAGCCCGGCCAAAGGACCACAGCCCCGCAGGCTCTTTTTCCCCCCCCCCCTCTTCATCAAAGCAGTGGAACAGTAGGCGGATGTAGCGAAGACCAAAAAAACATCACCAAAAGCGGCCATTTCCAGTTTAAGGAGACCTTTGAATTCAAACAGAGCTCCGTTGTGCCTCATGTTTCGAAGAGGGTGTCCACCTCACTCAACGCCATTGCCCCCAGAGGAAAACGGCACCTAGCATTGAACGACCACTAGAGAAAGGTTCGTCGGTGTTTCCACTGGGCGGTGGTTTCCAAATAGAATGTCACCAATCCAAACCCAGTGGATCCTAGTTACCCTTATAGTAGGTAACCAAGCAGTTCTGGTCTTAGGCGGGCAAGCCCCTGGTTACCCACAAACGCAGGTAACTGGATCCCCTAAAAAACGCCAGCAATTTCCACCGGTCGGCGTGTTTTGTTTTTTGGCGCGAAGTCTTGTTGGGCAAGCCGTTGGATTGAAAGCGGCCACTGGGAAGCCTGGTCTCACTTCCGTTGACCGGTTCTCCAGAGCGAGGCCTTTGCTACGAGGGTCTTCCCAGAAAGCTGAGGCTGCAGCTGGTGGAAGCGGGTCTCTTCGCAGTGGCTCAACCGACTCTTCATGGCCTCCAAGTCCTGCGCTGAAGAACAACAAATGGGCCTGGTGAAAATGCATGCGACCTTTAAAATGGGCGAAAACAAAACATCTATATCAGCATGCATCTGTTCCGCTGAAGAGAATGGGCCAGGGGTGACCTTTAGGATGTGACCTTTAGGATGTGACCTTTAGGATGCGACCTTTAGGATGTGACGTTTAGGATGGGGAAAAATGGACAAATGATCTACACCAGGATGCATCTGTTTCTAAGCAAAATCAAATGACCATGCATCTGACCTTTAGGATGGGTGAAAAACAAAACAAGTATGTCAGGATGCACCTATAAAAAAAAAAAAAAAAAAAAAAAAAACAAACAAACTCACCGATCAAACAGATACTTGGAATGGGCAAAAGGTCGCTTGTGATCTTTTCAGCAGCCTGCCTTCCTGGGATGCATGGGAACACCGGGGATTTCCTTCCAAAAGCGCCACGGACTTCTCCGAAAACTCGACTTTGGTGTTAAGATGGGATTTACATAGGCCTTACTATGACTTGGTTGCTGTTGACCCCTCTGCATTTTTTGTGGGTTTAGTGGAAAACCCAACTTGATTTCCCGAAAAGTGAAAGTCTAAAGATCCAACCCAATAGCAGTCAAGTAGTCAAGTAGTCAAGTATGACCTCAATGAGAAACATGAACCCAACACCCAACGACGTTGATTCTAAGATGGCAAGATTTGTAGGCCTTACTGTAACATACTGCAACCCCAATAAAAACCAACCACCCACTAACATGGCGGGTTTGAGCTCTGCTCCCAGTCCAAGAAGCTTCAGCACTGCTGTCTCATGCCCTAAGCCGGGTATGTGTCAAAATCGGAATTTGGACCAGTTGGGTACCAACTTCCCCCCCCCCCCAAAAAAAAAAGAGGTTTCCTTTGGCCAGACAAGGGGTACCAACTCCGCCAAAACAAAAAGCCACACACCTCGCGCGTTCATCCGGTCCTGGCTGCAAAAGGTGTGTAGCTCCTGGCACTGCTGGGCGCATTTCTGCCTCAGCTTTCGTCTTAGGCCGGTGGGTCCGGGAAAACGGCCGCGGCTTTCTTGGGAACTGAACTGTGCTCTTGCTGTGGAGGGAAACCAGATGGAAAACCAACAGGGAAACCAAAAGGGAACCCAATCACTGTAACAATACAAATCATTCTGACCTTTCCCTAATTTTGCGAGGGGTTCCACGGACCCTGGCCTAAACCGCCCTGCAGGTTGCCCCCTGCTTTTGCACTCATCGTTTTGAGCAAACACTCAAACTCCCGAGGAAGGTCCTTTTTCGGAGCACAAGTAGAGCTGTGGAGGTTCCTGGGCTGGAAGCTTGGGGATGTTTAAATGTGGACCACATGTGTGGCGTCCGCAAAATAACTGAAAGGGGATACTGTGAATGTCATGAGTCTTGCATGGAAAAACCGGCCACAAAACATAATTACAGGGTTCCCGAATGCTAGGCCCTCCAAGCGCCCCACCCCCTTCTTATAGAACCCGACTGCCGTGGGCGCATCTGTAGTCATGACCCCTCCTCAAAGCACAGCTCTGACCGGGCAACAACCCTGGAAGAAAGGTCGACATTTGGTCTCCGACAAGGGAAAATCAAGGGCCGTCGCATGAAAGCTTGGGGCAAACCTAAAAAAGCCGACTTGCTTGCCTGCTTGCTTGCTAGCTTGCTTGCTTGCTTGATGGCTCGCAGGCTTGCTTGCTTGCTTGTTTGTGTTTGTCTCCTTGTTTGCTTGTTTGTTCGCGTTAGGAGACTCAATTGGGAAAACATGATCATGGGCAGACACAACAAATACGCGGGGTTTGTGTCCACGAACCATCTTTGAGGATGTGAATTGCGACCTTCGAAATGCATAGCCGCGTCAGCCAAGTCTGGACTTTTTCTCAAAGGGCATCTTGAAAAACGACTGATTTCTCACTTCCTGAGTGGACTAGCCAAAAAAAGTCTAAACACATTGTTTACCACCAAAATGGTCCAACCCCAAAAAGCTTGAAGTCCAGGAACTCAGGAAGTGAGGGAAGGGGGATTGCCCGTGTCAACAGCGGGTTACCACCCCCGTTGCGAGAAAATCCCAGCCCGATGGTAGCCCCAATTGCTGCCAAGTCTCAAAACGCCTTGCTTCTCCTCGCATCGGCGGCGTGCCCCCTGCAAGTCCTGGGCAACGGCAACGAGAGGAGAGAATTCAAATCTGTCCATACTCCGCATATGACTTAGACCGTGAGGGATGGGGATGAAAGGGCATGGCTTTTCTCACCAACTCCGCGTTCTCTTAGATTCTCTTGCCTCTCCACTCAACAGTTCCTTTCAAGGATTTTACCCGCTAGGGACATCCACCTACTTTGCTTCCTGAGTCAAGGGAACGATCCATGACCAGTTCAGCCGGGCTCCAAGGTGCCCACGTCCCGCCTCCGGCCTCCGGCCTAAGAACTTGGACTTTGGCCGCTGGTTGGGCCTTTGGGATTCTCCGCTCGTCTGGTAGCTATCAAATGGGGAAAAGACATAGACAAATGAATGCATGAGCACAGAATGCTGGAGATGAGGGAGGAATGAAAACGATAGGGAAGAATTGTTGTCCGAAAGTTAAGAGATATAAGACATGAATATTTACCTTGATAAAGTCAGAAAAGAGGTGACCTCCTAATACTGAAATTGCGGAACTGACTATGAATAGATATGAAAGTAGCAGAATCACGACAGAACATGCATTGACTGCAGGATGCACAAATTCTGGGGACTCTGGAAACCCCTGGAAAGTTAGGTAAAATAGATTCCAAGTTTTGAAACCGTCCAAGATGTCTAGCCGCGCCTCCCCATTTTCCAGGAACCCTTAATCAGAGCGGCAAATACCCAAGGGATTGTGTCTTGAGAAGGGGGAAGAATAGGCAATCAACCTGAGAATGCTGCTGTTGATGTCGGCCCCGAGGGTTTCCCCCATAAGAATAAGGCCTAACCTTTTGTAGGTTGAATGGGAAAGCCATTTGTTTCGGAAAGGTCTAAGGGGCTAAGGTCACACCAAAAGCCTCCATGAAAAGATCCCCACTTCTTTCACGTGCCGACATTGAAACCCTTGTTGGGATTGCTCCCATTTTTTGTGCTTAACCCGCCAGACAAAGGCATCGATCCAAAAATAGGGTGAATCCACTGAACAGCTGGAAACAGGGCTGTGGGGAATGACCACTTCTGTGATGCAACAGAAGGGGGTTCCCAAAGACTATTTTCTTCATATCAAGGGGGATTCCCAAAAGTATCACAGAAGTGGTTGGAGAAACCCCGAGCGATCCCACAACGGCTGGAAACATGTGACAAAACTGCCACCCCCAAAGACACACAGGCCAAACTCTCCTTCATATATTTCGCCGGGGCTCGTGAGATCAAAGGAGAGGGCTACGAGGCAAACAGGATGGCACGAACCCAGCGGCAAACCACTGGTCTCCCTTCGGAGGCAGTTTTCCAGTGAGCCGTCTTTGGATTGAGCCCACTTTCAGGGACTCAAGCCGAAGGTGGCAAACATTTAAAGGAACTCGGAATGGATCGGGTGGATATATCCAAAAAAACCAGCCGAAGTTGAGAGTCGTTTTTTCTTGGCTTTTCTTGAGGTTCCTGGGGAATCTGAACGGGCTCCCTGGGGAATCTGAGCGCGGAGTCGTCTCGCGCGCGTGCAAAAGGGGTGGGGTTCTAATCAGCTAAGGTTATTGTTTCATTGGCCACCGGCAACCTTTAAAGGACCTATATGGATCCAGAAGCTAACATCACACCCCCGTCTGCGCGGAAGCCTCCCGCAGGATGGTCAGAGAGGACTCGAGGTCTTGCACGCTTTTGCGCCTGAGATGGTTTGGTGCGTGTGAGCACCCAAGAGCCCTTAAAGCCTTTGCAACTAAGATGGCACGGAGATCCTCTAAGATGCCTCCACTAAGAATCTGTGAAAAGAAACAGGTAGCGGAACCATCCTCCAAATGGTTAGCAGAGATGTTGATTGCCCCAGTGGCAAAAGGACATTTATAGAGGCCCTACTCTTGCTGGTGCGATAGGTAGGGAATGACCGAGAAAAGGGTGATGGAAATGAACCGGGTTTGGGGATCCCCTTACAGGAAACCATAGGCGATGGTTTGTAGGGGTCATTCTCTCACCCCCTGCCGAGAACCAGCAAGTCATGTCTGGAATCCTTGGCCGAGATGTTGGCGCTGCTCGTGGTGTGCCTGTGTGGGTGCGCCTTCTTCGGATGTCCTGACTTGAAGCAGCTTCAACGGAGAGTCGTTTGGGACAATTTCATCAGCAGCCAACTCCAGTAAGTGTCTCGCGCAAAATGAAGGCCCATTTTTTTTTTTCGAGGCCAACTTTTTGGACGAGCCCAGCAGCCCAAACAATATTTCCCTCTCCCCTGGTGGCCCATGACCGGCCTCAGAGTGGTCCAGGGAAGCACTTGGGTACATAGGCTGCTGGGGGGATGCCTGGGATCCTGGGATCCTAGCGTGGGAATGTGTCAAGAGAGGGGACCCCCGAAGCACGGGCGGCTTCCTTTTGTTCCTTCCACCCACCCCCCCCCCAAAAAAAAAGAAGAAGAAGAAGAAGAAGTTGCTCGCCGAGCTTGAAAAGATGCCGTGACCCTATCTGGCCAGCCAGATAAGCCCCACATCTGAAAAGAACAGAAAGGACCGGAAACGGCCAAACAGAACAGCGCCAGTCACCCAGAAATGAAGGAAACGGTAAAAGTTGGCACTACTGGGGACCGAGTTGGTGGGCAACTGCAACTGGCACATGCCCCCAGGTTGCTTCGGACCGACCGCGAAGCCACCCGCGACTGCGCCAACTGCGTCCAGCGGCTGGCCCTCCATTCGCACGTCTTGCCGCCGCATTGCCGACTCCAACTCCTGGAGCGAACGAAAATGCGCTGCAGAAGTGCCCCCCCAATGAGCAAATGACTTCATTTCTGACCTGGCAAAACTTGCTAAAAATGGTTTGGGCTCATCTTGGACTCGTTCAGACTTGATTTTCACTAAAATCGGGGAGGGGGGGAGGGGGGCGGGGGGAGAAGGGCGCGCATCTTGTCTTGCAGAGGATCAGTGCCCAAACACTAGGACAAGACAAAACCGTGTCTCTTCAATCAAGGAGGAAGATGAAGAACTGGACCGTTCTTGAAAGGGAAATGGTTTCCATAAACAGCCAACGTGGCATAGACCTTTCAATACCAATAGTGGTTGCATCTCATCTTCCACTTTCAGTGGTGGCTCCCAGGCTTTGGTTTCAGAATTTCAGAGGGCGTGTTGCACCTCTGAAGGCGAGCTTCAGGCGTGTCATCTTCACCCAAAGCACACTTTTGCGGGTTCTTGTCTCTTGCGTTTCAACGAGTTGCTGCGCTTCTTGGGCTTGGGCAAGGGGCTTCTCACCGTCCCTTGGCCCGCCAGGAGCTGCTGGCCTCATTTCTCAACGCGCAGGGAAGGCCACGGACTGCAACACCGCGCTCGGCAGGTCGGGAGCGGTGGTGACATCAGGAGCTGGTTTGGGATTTGAACGGGCTGTAAACCCTCAAGCTGGGCGGGTTTGGTGAGAGAAAGTCATGCTCCTCTTCTTTCCATCGCCTCTCTATATCAATCACTCGCTTCTCCCTAGCTGCTCCTTCCTTTTTTGACTGTTTGTAGAGACGGAAAAGGTTGGAGAGTGATGTTGGAAAAGGAATCGCTTGGACAGTCTATTGCTGGTTAACTCTTGTCCACCAGCTTAGTGGCAGGGTGACTAATCCTACCAAATTTCCGGCACCAAATGACCTCCAAATGGCTTCAAAGATCGACAACCCAAGTACCGCTGTGACAGAAATCCCTAAACTGCGGAGACTTCTTCCATTTGCTCAAGCCCCCTCGAACCATAATATCACAATATCCTACCTTTAAGACCAAAAAGGGAAATAAAGCAAACATCTCAAGCAAATGGCAGACTTGACTGGGCTGTCCTCTGATCCCCGGCTAAAAGTTTAACTTGTAGTGGGTTACATGCAAATTCGAATCCCTTTATAAACACTAAAAGCCTAAACAACAATTAAGGAACCGGATGGCTGGGAGCCACCAAGTTGAACGGACCCCAACGCTTGTTTTTTCCTTTTCTTCGGTGACCGATGGATCCTGCACCAGCTCCGCAGCCTTCAAGCTTTCGAGGGCTGCCAGCCGCTCCTGGCGAATCGAATCGCACGACACATGGCCCGTGGCTCCGGTCGGTGGCTCCGCTTTTTGCATTTCCCACTAACATGGCGCCCCAGGTGTGGCTTAACATGGTCCAGTTTCATTTGAGCCCGCTAGCCCATGGCGGCCAGGCCATGGCAAAGAAGACTATCAAGTTCAGCGGTGGGAACACCGCGGAAACCACCAGAGGCGCCGGATTCATTTTGAGCCGTTTGGCCGTTTGGCCCGGCGCACACCGACAAACCCGCTGGGCACCCCAAGAGTCCCAACCCCCACCCCCCCGGGGCAAATGCAAGCTCATCTCTTGAGGCAAGATGGGTTCTCCGTTGAGGTGTTTACTTCTGAATGGCTCATGTGGGCACCCTCCCTTTTGCCTTTCTTTTTTTCACAGCCCCTACCATGGATAATCAGTCCCAAAACATTGCGAGGGATGGCTTTGAGCCCAGGGAACCACGAGGATTGGCTGAGCCTCGTGCCGGGAATGCTGACTTCCATTGTGAAGGTTGTCGCAAGGAAACCAGCGACTGCTAAGGGGGGCATCCCCCAGCTCCGCGAAGAACGTGGTCATGAAGAAAACCAACCCTTAGCCTGAAAAACCATTTTCTCGGTTGCGAAATCTGCTCCCCTGCTAAAAAGTTAAACTTTTAGTGGTCTAGTGGAAAACCCATTGGCAAAAAGTTAAAGTCCTAACAGCCAAGCAAAATGAACCAAAGTTTTGATAAGGGAACCAACCTCTGCTACACGCCCCCGTGTAGAACTAAGTGATGAGGGGACAAACTGCCGCCCCGCTTAGAACCCGTCCCCTGTGAGCGTGGCGATACGAGAACCCTGTTGCATGCCATGGTGCAATGACCTGTTAGCTGAGTTGAACATCCAAGCCCATGGCAAAGACCATGAGAGACCACTTTAAGGGAAGAAGCATTGTCCGAAGCTGCATTGTTTCATTTCAAAAATGTCGTCCATCCAGCGTAATTACCGAGAAAAACGTCACTAACTAGAGACTGTTAAGGGGGCCCGGATTCGAATCGCACCTCTGCGCGAGACCTCTGCCATCGCTCCACGGAGGGCCTGTCAGAAAACGACAAAACATAACGAGAATACTAGACCGAACACAAATGATAAATGATGATGATGATGATGATGATGATGATGATGATGATGATGATAATAATAATGGTGGTGGTGGTGATGATGATGATGATTCCCCCTCCCCCACCTACAACACATGGAAGTGCGCCTGTACGTTTTCCAAAGGCCCAAACTAGTTTTGGTTGTTGGAGATATGGTCAGCTGAAGGCATGAGGATTCTCGGATGGATTGATTTTGGACCCAGCCATCAGCCCAGCGGGTTGAACAAGCGCTGCCAAGGCGCTGCGCACTTTGCAGCCAATCCGTCCAGGGCAGCAATCGCTGCAAAGACTCTTGGTGTCGCCTGGTTTCCAGCGCGACGCTTCCCCCGTCGAGCCACACACAGTTACACATCCTTTACACACTTGCACGCTAATGCGGTTCTTCACTTTACAAGTAGGAGCCCAAGACCCTAAATATGAGGGCCGTCAACTCCCAAAGGGCAAAACACAAATGAGGTCTTGGACGGCTACGGTGTATTTTTGGAATCACATATTTTGAAATCACGCCTGGGGGGTCCAGGTGATTTTTTCTTGAAATCGCGCCTGGGTGGTGCAGTTGTTTTTGTTGCATTCATGCCTGTGGGCCGGGGTGTTTTTCCTGTTGAATTCACGCCTTAGGGCTCCGCCTTTGTTTTTTCAATTCACGCCTCTGGGCCCTAGTGACTTGTTCTTTTGAAGTCACGCTTGGGGGCTCTGGTGTTTGCTTTGTTGAAATCACGCCGAGGCGCGAGGTAAAAAAAAAAAAAAGGTCCCCAGGCGTGATTTCCAAAGAAACAACAACCCGGACTAAAGGCGTGAGTTGAACAAAAAAAGCGGAGTCCCAAGGCGTGAATTCCAAACAAAAAAAACCGGCCCACAAACATGAATGCAACAAAAACAAGCACCAGGACCCCCAGGCGTGATTTCAAAAAAAGAAGGGACCCCCAGGAATGATTGCCACTCTCAAAAAAAAAACGGGACTCCCAGGCGTGATTTCAACAAATAAAACACAAGGTTCCCCCAGGCTCGGTGGGATTTCAAAACCGAACCGGACCCCCAGGCGTGATTTCCAAAAAATGAAACACCGGGAGGTGTTTTTTTTTTTTTTAAACACCAGTCGCTCTCTCACTTGCTTGCTCGCTTCGTCTGTGAAACAAAAAGACATGAGGAACTTTAAAAAAAAGGTTCCGGTCTTGGGCTCCTAGGGTCAATTGTTTTCCCAAACTTCTTCACGGGATGCCGTCCCAATTAAAGAACTCTTCATGCTGAGCTTGTTGGTCTCTCCGGTCTGGTCGCATAGGGCAATACTGAAAAACGCCTACACGTGCATTTGGGCACAACCAACCAGCAAATCAACAAAGCTGCCAGTAGAACTTGAGATCCCTGGGGAGAAGCGCAGGCGGTGTTACGTTTTATGCGAGAACATCTCGCGCAAGGCAATGAGACATGGAGGCTACACCACCAATACAAGCCTGTAAGGTCGTATAAGTGGGAATTTCAGACTGCAGCATCCATACCTATCATTGCCCCCGTGAAGCACGCGACAGCAACAACAACGACGGGCAAGAAAATACAGTGTGGCGTCAAGGAAGGTAACAAATCAGAAGAACTCATCTGCACCTACATGATGTGTCTAGTTGATTTCCATGGGGAACAAGGGACTCCTCTCTGCGTTGGTTGAGTTTAAAGGGGAACCCTTCCCAAACACGATGAACGAAAGCGCGCCACTGGGCAATTTGAGGTGAACAGACTGGGGAAGCCATTTTTAGAAACCAAAGTGCTACAACAAATGCACTGTTGTTCAACCGGGGAACTGCCTGGAGGTCCGGGACATGAGCAAATGAGGTCCGGCCGAGCAGCAGCATCTCTTCACTCAGTTTCCGGATGTCTTGCCGGAAGATGGCGCAATCTTGCTGCACCTGCAGTGCTACAGGTCCCAGATGGCCCCGTGGGAAGCGCATTGCAAATAGCCCAAACCAGGGTTTCTCCAGAATAAGACGCTAAGGCCTTACTCTCATCCTCCAGTAAGGTTAGAATAAGGGTGCCAGCTTTTTTCTGTAGTCTGTTTTGGTAGGGGAACCCTCCCCCACAAAAGAGTAAAAGGGCACTACTGGGGGACCGAGTCTCGGAAAACCAAGGGAGGGAGCGTTAGGGAAGAGGGCGTTTACGGGCGTCTGGTGCGGAAGGAATCAGTCGAGAAGAGCCCAAGAAGGTTCGCGCCCTTTTCCAACAACAGATGCCAAGAGGCTCCCTCCCCCCCCCAAAAAAAAGCCTTCCAAACTCCAAGCTCGATCAGCATTCGTGATTGAAGGGAGGGCTTTGTCTTCTGACAACCTTCGGGATCGGGCGGGCATCGTTTTTCTCTCCGGGGCATCGTCGGCACACGGCTTGCCATCTTCGTTGGCATGTCTGAAGCATATGAATCTTCCTGGGTCTGGGCAACGGCGCATGATGCTACCACGAACTCAGGGCAAAACAGCATACAGAACATGCACAAATCCATGTTATGTTACGCGTTGGTAATCCGCTTGTGCCCAGGCTTTGTCAACAAAACATTGCTTGGGAGGGCGACGTGCTGGAAGGTCTACAGAAAACACGCAGTGAATCTCAGGTTTGCCGTGACCGAATCGCACGATTTGCAAGAGGACCCTCTAAAATCAGCTCCATGCTGGTGACTTTTTGTACTGGCCCAAAGGCATACCGCTCCGCGGGGGCTGCAAATCGCTGGGCTGAGAACCGGGCCTCTGTCTCTCCGCGTGCAATCCTGGCAACTGGTTGGGATTCGATTCGTGGAAATTGTTGTTGATATTTAGAGGCTCCAGAGACATTCCGTGAGTGCCAGGTCAAGTTTTGGTGGCTTGAATGTTGGTGAGCTTCCCCTTGCCGAACCCAAATTATTAGCTGCTGCGTTCAAAAGGCCCTGTTCAAGTCTTGTGCTCCCAGGGGACTCTCACGCACCATTTTTCAGAAGCAGTGTCCTAGGCCATGAAACGCCCACCCACTAACATGGGTTTGCGCACAAAGCCAGAAAGCAGTTTTTCTACAGGGGTCTGTGCACTGCCATGTTAGCGGGTGGGAGGGTAACACGATTGGTCCCCGGAGAGTCTTCAGAATTCACGAGCCTTCGCTAGCATGACAAGCTGACACATGAACAGAAACAAACTGCTTGTAATTACCAAAGAGGAAATCTATGGGGACAGGTCTCCGTATTGGGAACATTCTGCCCATGGGGTGGGGGGTCAAAGCTCCTAGGCGCTTGCAGGACAGGCTTGGGCCAGACCCTTTGCTTAAACCACGTGCCTCGCAGCCCAATGTTGCCCATGGCAAATGGAACATTATTTTTGCTCCAGAAGACGAAGTCAATGGAATACCTCTTCACTGAGAAAAGCCTGCACCCATTGACACGTGGCTTGTCCCACAAATCATCGGTGCCAAAGTGCATGCGCAGCGATGCCCAGACCCCCTGTCTTCTTCCCAGGCACTTCTTTTTGGTGGTTGAGTTCAAAGGAAATCCACGAAAGGCAAACTGGGCGTGTGTCTTTTTTTAGGCGACCCCCCAAAACGGATTTTGGTTTTCCTTTTGGAGTCGGTTTCCCTTTCCAAAGTGGCCAACTGCTACCCGCTTGACCCAAACGAAAACATCAAAACAGCGCGCCACCCTTTTCATCCGAGACTCGAGGGGGCCATGGCATGCAGCGTCGCCAGGTTCTCGTCGCTCCGCCGCTGCTGGTCCTGTTGAAATAAGGTTGAACACTTTGGTTGGAGTTCCGTGTGCTTGCTTGGAGTGAGTTCCATGTTTTTGGTTAGTACTTCCAGGCTTTTGGTTGGCATCAAACATGGACTTCTCCAAAAAGGCGCCGCCAAAATCGGTCGAACTCGGTGGGGTTCCTTTTGTTTCCCTTCAGTACCACCAAAAGGCTTGGGTTGCTGCTGACCCCTCTGCAAAAGTTTGCTTCATTTCTACGGGTCCAATGAACACCCATTGCTTCACAAAAAGTTTCAGGGCCCAAGATCCAGCCAAAAATTGCCAGAAAGAAGGGCGTCTCCTCGAAAACAGACACCCAAATGAGTGGCGTCCCATTGAATGTGGGTGCGTGAGGCACAAAAGCACAAAAGTGGCTTCCTTTTGGATTTCTTTGGGTCACTACCTAGAGGGGGAATGTAGGACTATTTTGAGCTTTTCCGTAAAAACTATGAAGAAACAACAAAAACATAACCAAAACAAGTACCCTCTTGGTCGCCCTGTACTCTTTGCTTGAAGCTCATGCCGAACGATGTCTCTTGCTCCAGATTTTGCGTTGGCAAGGGGGCTGATAACTTTGGGAAGTAGTTCAGCCTGCATGTCTAAATCACAAAGCATCCAGGTGTGGCAATGGTTCGGGGGTTCAACGCTTGGAGGTTCGGGGGTTCAACGCTTGGTTGCTGCCTACGTACGAAGAAGCGGGACTTGTGGCCCCAACATGGTTAAAGAGTTGCAATATGGGTGTGGGTCAACAATAGGTACCCAAAATGGAACCCTGGTAAATGGAACCAAAGACTAAAACCTGCAGTCCTCTGGTGGCTTGACTTTGACCCATACCCATATCTATGCATATTACTATAACAAAACACCAGAAATGAGGAAATCCCAATTTCCGGAACCTTGATCCTGGGGCCCGATCTCAGCTTACCCGCTCCAGCGCCCGGACCAGTCGGACCAGTGGGCTGGTGACAAGTTACGATGTTGGGGACGTATGACCAACCCACCTTCCCCGGTAAGCGTTCAAGCTACTCAGGGAGCAAGTAGTAACCAGGGTAAGGAAACCAGGCTTCGTTACCCACTACCCATGGCTACAACCTACTAAGGTTGAACGTCCAAGTTCCTTGGGGCTCCTTCAGGAGCACCAACTCATAGCTGATCTTGTCCACAAGGTCCTGCAGTGCAAGCTTTCCCTCCTCCCAGCCTCTTGGGTATTTCAACCCTCCCAGTTCGGCGGCAAACTCAACTTGAGCTTAGTGGCGTTTCGCCGGGCTTAGCCACTTACCCTGCCAGCCAACCAACCTGGACGTGACAAACAGCTGTCGAAAAGGAAACCCATCTCAAAGGGGCCTGTTTCCTTGCCAGATTCAAAAGCTCCCCCGCACGTCTCCTTTTCAAAGGGGCGAGGAGTGGATGCAAGCAAAGGACTGGGAAGCAGGCTTTCCCTTTTGAGGCAGCGGTTGCCTTTTAGTTCCCCTTTGAAATAATTCTGGGAGATTCTTGAGAGACATGAACATGTAAGCCACTATTTGCGCCACAGTCGGTCAGTGTGACCACAACCTTTGGAAGCGGTTTGTGGCAGTTTCAAAGCGAAATGCCAAGCAAGCATTTGCTTGATGAAACCGGGGTGCCTGAAAGTGAGGGAACTCTGATTCCTTTGTTCTTGTGCCCTCTCTTTAAACAGCATCCAAGCCTGCCCTTCCCACATTCCTTCTAGGGATCCTATCCGGAAAATTGCCAAACACCCAAGATATTCCGGGTTTCCCAAAACGAATGGGAGACAAAGCATTGGAAGCTTTGGTCCTTGTTTCCCACCAAAGGCCCACCCATGGGCTCCACCCTCTTTGCCCCTGCCAACTGTTTGGCGCATGCCCTTCGCCCGTGCGCAAGCCAGCCGACTTCTTTTTCACGAGCGTTGTTCTGCAACAGGGGCCTGGCCGAATGCGACGAATGCGGAAACAAAATAACGACATGGCGGGTTGAGGTTTCTTCATTCAGGGGTAACACCGAGGGCCTCATTTGGTTTTCTCTTTTTGGGGACCCCCCAACAAAAATGGTTGTTTTCCAGTTCGTTTCTTGTTAAAACCGACCAACAGGGGGTACCGTCAAACAAAAAATCACACCCTTTTGCGTTTGCAGGATGGTGTGGCGAATGATGCCCTCACTTGCTCAGTGGACGGCCCAAATATGTACAAACTTTCTATGCCACTAAAATCGTCTAGCCCCGAAAAGTCTAGTCCAGGATCTCCGGGAGTTTGTGTCTGGGGGACGCTTTATTCCACAGGAGGGCTTCCCATTAATGGAACTGTCCTTTCGCAAATCAAGTTTCCCCTAGCTCATCCCAGTTGGGAACCAACGGAATTCCGCACTTCGGCCTCTTCCCAAATTGCACCTGCTTATCTCAGGTTCCTTCTTACCCATCTCCTACCTGAAACTTTCCGCCGCCCCCCCGCTACATTGATGGACTGAGAAAAAGGAACGATACCCTCCCAACAATCATCCGGGCAAAAATTAAAAACAAGTTCCCAGACTGGAAGTGAGGCATCTGCGGCAAAGGTCCGTTCCTTGTTGCCTGGAACTATGGAAGCTGATGATCGGAGAGTCAAAAAAACAAACTACTGTCCTTGGCGGGAAGCTCTCGGAGCCCGCGTTGATGAATGTTGCACTTGCCTTTCATGTGACCTTGGGGTCCTGGTTGGGCCGTTGGGCTCCGGGGCATCTCTGTTCCGGTCTGGGTTGGGTCAGTGTGGCCAATTCTAATTTCGTATTGCTTGCGCAGAAGCCGTCACGGGATCTAGAACATATATGAATGACACTCACTTGCAAAAGCAGGTGCAAGATTAATTCAAGTATTCACTGCACCTCCCCCAATGGAATTGCTCCGGTGAAGCTGGCAGCGAGATGCAGCAAGCAAAAACAATCCAAACTATTGTGGTTGCCACTGAAATAGCTTCCGACAAACTAACTGTCATCTGCACAAAGGGCCTGAACAGGCCAACCTTTTCGGGGACCCGAAGAGAGCAACCCTGGTTGAGAGGTCGCTTCGCTTGCAAAAGAACCCAGCTTTACCCAACCATCTGCGAACTAAGTGCTAAGTTTGGGAGCGTTCAAGAAAATTCCGGCAAAAAGAATACCGGCGCGATACATGAACAACCACGTCCAGCTCGAAGGCTTGCTTGGGGTCCAAGAACATTCCGAGAAACAACACGAGATACAAAAAAGATACCGCCCCCAGCTGGAAGGCGAGCGAGGCAATAGAGGGCCTGGTAGCAGGAGTCCGCCATGGAGCTCTGGCGCTGCCGGGTCTTTTGCTTCACCGAGATCTGGCCTCCGTACTTCATGAGCTCCAGCCTTCGAGCGAGAGATCCGAGGGATAGACCGAAGCGAGGCAACAAATATTGGGACCGGGGGTTGTATTCAAAAAAATGGGGGAGGGGGGAGGGGTCCCCCAAAGCAAGCAATTTGGACGGGGTGTCACAAAAAGACTTTTAAACCGAAGATGTTGATGGCGAGTCCACAAACGGAATGTTGGGGAAAAAAGAAAAATGGTGCCACCGAACGGCTTCGAGTTTCAAGGCTCCTGCAAGGACACTTACATACACATCAAACCACTTGTCTTGCGGGGGACTCCTCTAAATCAGATGGTGAGGGCGACCTGTTAAGGGACCCAGTTTCAGGGGAACCACCAAATGCGTGCGAACATGGGGGACCAAACTCCATTCAAAACCAGACTCTCCTCGAAGTCTATGAGTTGCGTGCGATGAAACAGCCACCTGTTTCAACATGACCGAAGAGTAAAACATATCCTGATATCATTCCCAGTTACATCAAGCCAAGCGTTTTCTTACCGCCAACCCCGTTTCGCTGGATGCCCTAGGCAAGTGGAAATTGCTATATCAGACCAAGTGGTAGCTTCAGTGGCATGATTAATATACCATATTTCACGGATATAGTCTTAGTGGAAAACCGGAATGAAACACAATGCGCTACCAAGGGCGAGCGCCGTTTTGTCATCTGAGTGGGCTACGTGTTTTTTTTGTCCAAGTCCCCTTGAGACAAACGCTGGTCCACTATGCAATCCCATAGGTATAATGATCCTCGGCTCCATTTTCAAAAAATTGGGGCATCAGCTGTCAGGGATCCTGAAATTCCTCTTAAGACATCACGCCTAGAAAAGGAAACTCACTTTACTAGAGCCCAAAAGACGATGACTAAAACAACAAAAATATACATTATGTTGACCCCATATGGGGTCAACATCATAGGGAGCTCTGACTTTTGCGTGAACGTGAGCAGCGAAAATATCGCCTGGAGATGCGGACCTCCCCGCTGTGGCTGGCGTCTGCGGTGACACCGTACTGCCGCTCCAAAAGCCTCAAAAAATATCACAAGGACCACAAACAGCTCCCCAAACAGCACACACCCAGCCGTCAATCTCGCAAATCACTTTCCCGCTTTATTAGACATTAGAACCCTTATAGCTTTCAGCTACCTGGGGAAAAACTGGAACAAAGGTCTGGGGACGTTGATCTGATCTGCCAAGCCACGCGAGGAGCTTCTGCTTCCGCTCCCGGACTTCCGGTGTGTCGCCTGTCCTGAGATAAGCAGCCGGGTCCCTAAAAGGAAAGTACTTGCGAGGAAAGCTACACAAACAACCCCTTTCTTACTTCCATGATGGTTGGAGGAAGGGAAAGATGACAAAGATGGAATGCACAATTCCTATGAATCCTGCGTTCGATTCATAATGCCATGCCTTTGTGTTGAATAGCTGGCTCTTAAATATATTAATCCGCCGACCCTCTGCCTCCCGTCCCAGCCTCCTGCAGAGGGGACCGGCGTGGGATGCAACTGGAAGTGATTGGAATCAATGATAGTCCTTGGGGGACACGCCCGAACCCACAAAAAGTGGATTCCCAGGACCGGTCCCGGGACCGGTCCCGGGACCGGTCCTGGGACCAGTCCTGGGACCAGTCCTGGGACCAGTCCGGGGACTGGTCCTGGGACCCTGGTTCTGCTGTTTTGGAAGACTTGTAGTCAGGACCGGTCCTGGGACCAGTCCTGGGACTGGTCCTGGGACTGGTCCCAGGAAGGACCGGGGTTTGGTCCTGCCCAGGACCAGTCCTGGGACCAGTCCTGGGACCAGTCCTGGGACCGGTCCTAGGACCAGCGGTTTGGTCCTGGGACTGGTCCCAGCACCGGTCCTGGGACTGGTCCTGGGACCGGTCCCAGGACCAGTCCTGGGACCGGTCTGGGAAGCCGGTCCGGGATCGAGTCCTGGTGTGACCGCTGGTCTTGGGTCCCAATTCAATCTGTGCTGCCTCAAACCGCTCCAGACACCTTTCCGGACTGGCACCCATGACCCTGCGACCAAGCCGGCCCGTGCGGTTGTTGACGTCCTTGTGGTAGTAGAGGATCCCATCTATTCTGCAAGAGAGTCCAATACGTCAAGTCAAACCGCGCCAGACTGGGACCAGCCTGGACAGGGTCCCAAGTCCCGGTCCCTGCCGGCGACCGGTCCAGGGCAACTTCGGGAGGGCCAGTTTCAGGGCGACCCCAGGAGAGGCGACTGCTCCCGGCCAACTCGAAGTGACTTGGGCGCAAGCCGGCCCAAGCGGTAATTAACGGACTAGCTGCCCTATTTCTGACTTTTCCGTTAATCCTTGTTTCTGGTCAACTTCGGGAGGGCCAGTTTCAGGGCGACCCCGGGAGAGGCGACTGCTCCCGGGCCAACTCGAAGTGACTTGGGCGCAAGCCGGCCCAAGCGGTAATTAACGGACTAGCTGCCCTATTTCTGACTTTTCCGTTAATCCTTGTTTGTGGTCGTAGAGGATCTTATAAGTGGTCCCTGGGTTTGCGGACGTGTTTCAGGACCGGTCCTTGTCACTTTTCCCTTAATGCGCCGAGGGTCGGCGGCAGCAGGCGGGAGCCTGGTTAATATATATATATATATACATATATATATATATATATATGAGCTTTGTTGTTTTCATCGTCTTACTTTCAGCTTGTCCACAGTATACCAGCTCCCCAATGGTCGGGCAATTGCCGGCACGGCTAAGCAACGTCACTTGATGTCTAAGGGACTGCTAAAGCCAGTTAAGCTAAGTATCACTCTGCTGTACTTAGTGCATTTGTGAACTGATACAAGTGACCTTCCGGGTCCTTTGCGGGGGGGAGGGGGTTGCAGGGGAAAGGGGAAGCTGGCAAGTTCGAGGTTTGGAGGGCAAGTTTGAGGTGGGGAGGGGTTCTTGAGCGTGTCATGGCGTGTCGCGCGTTGCATGTACAAGATTTCATGCATGTCAGCCCATCCCCTCAGCTGGATTCCCTCTGGTATCCTGGAGTGACATTTCAACAATTAGATGGCAAAACAGCTATGCGACTACAAACCTATTTTAAGCAAGTGCTTGTCAATTGCTGGCACTTCACTCGGGGGGGAGGATTTACCGGCCAAGTAACTATTTTGCTCGGGATTCTATCAATTCTCGCGTTCTGTCCGGCCTGCCTTTCAAGGGCACAAAACCAGGGACCTCGTGGGCCTTTGCGACCCTGTTGCTTGCTGTTAAAACCATAGCAACATCAGAACACAAAGCAACCTTGGCTGCGCTGTAGCAAGAGACTGACCTGCAAGCCAGCAGCCAGACTAATTTTATTGACCTTCACACGGTTCATGGTCTAACTCACTGGCAAGGACCACTGAGATGCGGGAGCAAAACGTTTAACTGCTTGTTGGAGGAGGCTCTTGAGATTGGCCTTTCTTATGTCTGGGTGGGCATGCAGCACCTGGCATCAGGGTTGTGTCTCTCACTTACGTGCAGAGCAGGTCCAACTTTTGGAACGCAACAAGTTCTGATTCAGTCGTCAACATCGTCAACTTGATCGTAGGCCACTCCTCCGATTAGTAAGGGCGTGGCGGGCGAAGGAGGTCAGGGCCCCGAGGCATGACTTAAGCACATGCCGAGCTGCAACTGGTTGTTGACGATGACGCACAAGTCCCGGACTTGCGTCTTGCCCGCCGACTGAGAGTGCATGCTTGGTGGAGCGAGAGCAAGAATCGAAAAGCAGGGCCCTTTCTCCGCTGGGAACCAGTTGAAACGAGTGACCCTGGTAGAAAAACACCCTGGTTTAGGGCTGATATTTTTTTCGTGGATCCCGAACCCAGCGGGACCAAATTAGTGGGTTTGGAGAGGGGAGTTGACTGACAAACTTGTTGCTTTTGTAAAACTCCCCCCCCCCCCCTCGCAAAGTAAGTACCGGCTCTCTCGTAGACAGGGGCACCCCCAAAGTGGTGGTTCCTTTGGCGGCCCTTGAACAAACACATGTTAAACCACCCCTTTTAGGGACCCACAAAACAAGACACGCAGCCGCCTCCGGAAAATGGCCGGGAGACCGTAGGGCATTGCCCTTTTTTTAAAGTGCCCCCCGAGCAAGCCACAGAACCAAGGTACCTGTGCTATTCGAAGGCACGTCAATCCCAAGAGCACCCAATGCGCAAACCATTGCAAACCTATTTGGACACGCAAACAAGCAGAGATGCCATGCACACGCACACACACACACAGACACACATCAAGCAAACACAGTCCAGACTTGCTGACTCAATTGATTCTCCCAAACAGTTTGAAGGCTCAATCGCCCAATGAGCTCTGAGCTACCACTTCGAAGCTCTTTTGGGAGTTCAGGCCGCTTTGGGAGTCACAGGAGGACAACCCGTAGACCCGCTCCATAGAACGGCTTCATAGGTGGGGCCTTCCACGGAACCCTGACTCAGTTGTTCAGTGACCCTGGGAAAAAAGGGAACCCTTTTTGGTGAAGACCAGTTTTAGTGGGGCAGCCACCCCAAAAAAAGAAAAAAGGAAAAAGGGTGCCACTGAACAACTGAGCTGATATTGTCACCACCTTGGGGGGATCCCAGCCCCAAAAACGCACAAAACATGGCCTGCCCTTTTGGTACAGCTGAAACTGCATGATCAAAACCCAGAAGTTTTAGTGGAACCCATCCAGCTCCAAACAGACCTGTGCCGGCTCCAAGAAAATTCCCTTCAAGGATACATTCCAACAACCAGCACAAGGAAAGTTCCGACAGGGGTGACTGCAATTTACTGGTGGCTTCCATTGAACCGATCGCCAAAAGCTGGAACCCGAAATGAAGGGTTCCACAAAGGATACATCCAAAAAACAGCTCAAGTAAAGTTGCCCTGAAATCAGTGAGTTGGGTGCCCAGATGCAACCTAGAAAACTGGGCTGCCCTCAGATCCCCCGCTAAAAGTTTGACTTTTAGTGGGTTAAATGGAAACTACCACTAAACACTAAAAGGCTAAAAAGCTAAGGGGATGGCTGGGAGCCGCCAAGAAAACCCACGGCCGGCCCCGAATTTGTCCATCGCCTCCTCCACAAAGATCTGGAGGGCCACGAGCGCCACCTCCTCCGACAGGTCCTGCACGTTGATGCAGGTCTTCCTGGCGTCGAACTTCGCTTCGTGCTTCGCGCGCTTGGCGCTTTCAAGCCCAGCAGCAACTTGGGCAGCGGAGTGTCTTCAAAAGTACCCTTTTGTCCACGAACACAAAGGGAACCCACCAAAGGTCTAGGGGTTGAGTCCTTTTCGACCATGGTTCTTTTCAACAAATAGCCGTTTTCCCTGGGTTTCCGGAGGGTTTCTAGAAAGAAGGATCAGTGGAAAGAATGGGGAAGGTACTCCTGGAAAAGGGCCCGTTTTAGAGGAAACCGTCTTCCAGGTCAGGTCCCATGTTGGTGGATGGGAGTGTGCAACGCCCCACAATTTGGGTGCCTTCGTCCGAGACCACGAAGCGACAAGAAAATGCATGGCGCGATTGGCCGAGCTTTTGACCTTTTGTCCCCAAAAGGCGATCACCTGGATAGGTTCTTAGGTTCTTCTCAGAAGCGCTTCTAACCCGAGTTCTGAGAACCATTCTGGTGGGCATGGGGGGCCCTGATTAGCCCTAGGTGCACCAAAATCGCAACGCATTCCCCAACAGTGGGATCGATCGTGCGCCCTATGCCGCATGAGTCATGAGGAAACCCTGGCCCCAACCAGCATGGTGGCTAGAACAAGCGGTGATGTCAAACCGAAAAACAACATCTATGGTGCACCTGTATGAAGCAAACGAGCTCCGTGTGACCTCAGCTTTTCCCGCCAGAAATCATGCTCAAGTCTCTGTTTTTTTCAGTGAAGCTTTTCCAAAGAAAGCTTTCCAACCACCAAATCAGCTTCTACAAGGCTTACTCATGTCACCCGACCCACTGGTCCCCACCCGAAACTCGACTCGCCGCCTATCGATCCAGCGCGGAATCAGACCCTGCTTCGTGAGTCTGGTCGAAAGCTCTCCCGCCGCCTCTGCGCTGGTGGACCATCCCATGCCAGCCCTGATACCCCACTCCCCCCCCCCCATGCGCAAATCTTGACATTTTGGAGCCGGTCCTGGAAATTACAGCTTTGTTTTCTAGAGTTTGTATAATACTGACACAGTTTAGCTCAAACGTTGAGATTTGGGGCTGTTTGACCCCTCATTTACCCATTTAGGGTCAAGGGGTATGGCCCAATGGTCTGGTGGTGAAACCGTCAAACCTGTACATGTTGAGATATACTAAGGGAAACAGAATCGCTTTTAGGCAGGGTTCTGGGAAGCGTTTCAGTCCTTCTCAGAGCGGGTTGTGCAAACCCACAGTTCCACCGCCGTACTTTTAGGGGCGGGAAAAAAGAAAAGAAACCGTCTTCCGATGTTCCCTTCCAACAAACATCTACATCAGATTTTGCCGCCCCAAATTACATTCACATTTTTAAATGGCCCATATCTAGCGAACCCGCAACATGGAAATAGAAATAACAACCTTTCAATCACGGAAATACACCCAGGAAAGGAATCCCATGGAAAATGGCTTGGCATTAAGACAAAGGGTGAAGAGAATGGGCATCCTTTCTTATGACCTAGCCTCAGGTCGCCAGCCATTGTGCTTTCAGTGCAATGGTGCTTTCCCTGGTTGCCATTCGCCCTATCGGATGCGAAAAAGTGAGTGAGGTTCACCGGGCCTTGGAGCTGTCCCTGGAGAGCATCAAGATGGCGATGAAGCAGGACAACGTGTCCGGCTGCCTCGGCTTTTGGCTTGGACGGACTCCGGGCTTGCGGCCTGCCGTGTGAACCACGATGCGAGGTGTTGTTTCTTCTCGGGAAGGCATGCACCCCTAAAGCGGCACCAAAATGTGTGGCAAGCAAAATTGGATGAAAAGGCTGGGTTGCTCCAAATGAAAAAGAACCCGAATCCAGTAAGACATCATAAGGGAAACCACTACCATCTGGCTAAGGATTGACCAACCCAGGCCTTCGACTCCTGCGTATGTTGAAAAAGGAATCGCTTACTTGTTTTGCCGGTGTTTGCGCGAATCATATGCCCTTTACAAACAAAGGCTGGCGAAAAAGGCCCAACCGAATACTTCGGTTAAATCAGGAGCTTCGCCACCGGATGATCACCGGAAGTTTCAATTGAAAGGGTGTGAATGCACATGTGGGTGGCTTTTTAGGGGAAACCCCCCAACACGGATTTGTCTGTTTTTTTTGCGACGGGTAGCCTCTTTAAAAGACATACTATCTCTCAAAATGAGACACCCCCCCCTGCAAACAAAAAAGAAAGATTTGGCCCACATTTGCATCAATATGTCTGAAATGTTCAGATTCCGTTTCATCTTGTCTACACCACAGAAAGAAGAGCCGGGAGGGGACCCGAAACGAACCATCAGCCGCTCTTTAGCTGGCACCAAGCCAGCGCGATCCGCAGGGATCCTTCGAACTCTCTGCATCCATCATATAGCGATGTTTCTCGTGTTTCTGAATTTGCTGGTGAGCCCATGCCCAATTCGCATTTTGAGGGGTCAAATCCAGAAGGAAAGCAAGGTGTGACCATCCAAGAACGAAGTTTGCCTCGGATTTGACGAGAGGGCTAGACGGGGTATCCTATGAGTAGGGTTCTATTTGGGTCTACTTGTTCGACAACAAAGTCGTAGCGTAAGCCCAGGCATGCCCCTTTTGGGGAAATCAACCACGCTTGGGTATCTGCATATCCCCCTACCTTAGGGTGAGGGGGTGCCCCAATTCCATTCCTCTAGTCTTCCGCAGAAAATGGAGATCTCCAGGATCGTTCTCTCCCCCTCCCCCAATCAACTATTTTTAAGGGGCCCGGTGGGGATCCGGGGTTGGCTTTATTACCACGTCCTTACATAACTCCTGGTAGCTCCTGAGCTCTATCCAAAAAATCGCAACTCCAAGCAAAACCCTCAGCGCTGAAACGAAGGCGCAGGTCTAAGGTCTCCATCTGTTGGAACAACTCCAAGGCCTTGAGGCCCTCTCCGCACTTGAAGCACGCCTGCCAAATTTTCGGGAAGAAAAGGGGCGGCATCAGCTTCCCGAGCCGAATCGGTGAGTGGTTTGGAGCCGGAGCTCGGTGGTTCCCCCCTTAAAAGAAAGGTTGATTCAATTTCAATATGATGACAATCCTGAAAAAAACCATGATGGTGATATGAACCCCATTGTGTTAATGGTGGTTTGAGTCTCAGGGGAGGGGTGTCCCATGAAGTCGCCTCCTTGAAGTACACATTCAACTTGGATCTGGTCTAGCTCCTCCAGATAAGGGTCCCAACTTTTTCCGCAGTCGGGGAACCCAAAACCCCAAAAAAAGGTAAACACACACTACTGGAATTCAGTTCCCGAATTCCAAGCGGTGTTGGAGCCCGTGACCTGCTCTTTTTGGGCCCTTTGGGCAGGCGACAGCATCAGCTTCCCATGGATGGCTTGGAGCCGGAAGCCCGGTGAGTTTGGAGGCTTGGATTGGTGGGAAACCCCATCTACCCTGAGCCACAGGTTCAAATCCCAATCCAAACCACGAATTCAAACCACCGAATACAGGATACCTGAAACCAGGCTCAACACATACACACACAAAAGAAAAGAGCTATGCCCGTATGCCCTGGCTCTGGGCACAATGGAAGCTGCCACCAACAGCACCCACTTCAACAGAGCTAAGCTTTCCGAGCACGTCCTGGCTCTCATGTTGCCTATGTCTCCCTGCGCTCTAACAATCGCTGAAAGCGGACTTCGACTTCCAGCTGGCTTTGGGTTTGAGAACAATGGGCCTGGCTTCTTTTTGAGTTGCCCCCCCCCCCCTTTTGGTTCCAAAGGGAAACTGACAGGAAAACCAAACTCCATTTGGGGGGGTCCAACCTCAAAAAGACCAGCCGTTTTGAAGCTCTTTCGGCACCTGCAGCACTGCGTTCATCTCCTTGTCGGACCGCGGGATGCCGTGGGCCGGAAAGGTGTCCAACAGCACCAGGGCGAATTCCCACTCCTGAGGAAATTTGGAAAAGGGCCAGTGGGGCAATGGCTGTGGAACCCATTCAGGGGGGCGAACTGGGGAGGGGGGGAACTCCCTGGCTGTCCCTGGATAAGCCTAGGGGGTGAAGGGAGGGGCGAAGCTGGAAATCCCTCAGGGCCTTTCTTCAGGTCTTCCTTGGCTTATCCTAGGCTTATTCAGGGATAGCCCCCCCCCATAAGCCCAATAAGCCCCCCTCTGGTCAGTACGGGAGTGTCCTTCTTGAGGCTTCGGGATCCCCGCTTTACGGACTTGGATGCTCACCCCACTTGAGTGGGCTACACCCATGGTTACTCACTTCCCGAGTAGATGAGTGGATGGTCCCAAACAAGCACATTCTTGTTGGCCACTACACTTGTACGCCCACAAAGTATAATGGCCATGAACTCGGGAAGTCAGGGGTTAGTAGGGTAACTTGGTCGGCTTCCTCACCATGGCTACAACCCGCTTGAACCTCCCAGTGAGCGTTGGTGTTCATTCCCTACAAACTTGATTGGACATTACTCAAGCTTCCGCGAGCCCTTCCGCATCCTTGCCGCGGGCCAAGAGATCCGGTCCGCGAGCTTCCGCGGCACATGTGCTCCATTGTTTGCTTCCGCAAACCTTCCGCGGCGCATGTTTTACAAGATTTGCTTCTGCGAGCATTGGCGCAGGAAGAGAATGTCAATTTAAGTAAGGAAGGACAGTAGTGTTTCGTCTTGCCTGCAAACACGCGGCCACCCTTCTGCGGAGCTTCCGCGAACCTTCCGCAAACCTTCCGCGAAATCCGCCGGCTGTTTTGGTCTTCTTGGCTTGCTGTTGGCAACTGCTCTTCTAGTAAACGTTGCGTTTCTTGTACGCAGCAACACCTTACTGCTTCTACTGTAATTCTTTCTCCGTGCTTTTCCATGCACGCAAACTGAAACAATAAACTTCATATCAGCCACAAAGCTTCCACAAACCTTCCGCGAAAGAATCCCTTCCGCGAAGTCTTCCGCATGCTTCCGCGCGTGTGGCGCGGTGCACATTTTCAATCATGATGCCCCCCTCTCTACTAAATTTGCTTGCGGCCAAAAAAACCGCCGCTCAAGTCCCCTCTTGAGTAGGCTACACCCATGGTTACTCACTTCCCGAGTGGATGGTCCCAAACAAGAATATTTTTGTTGGCCACTGAACTTGTATGCCCACAAAGTATAATGGCCATGAACTCGGGAAGTAAGGGGTTAGTAGGGTAACTGGGTTGGCTTCCTTACCATGGCTACAGCTTGAACCTCCAAGTGCCCTCCCAGCGAATCGATGCGCATCGATGCGCATCGAATGGATCCGCCTGGGCCTTGGCGTAGGCGCATGTCATGGACCGCATGGAGTTGATGTCCCGAGTTGCCGCCAAGGTCTCATAGGCCTCCTACGTGGGATGCCCCCCCAAACCCAAAAAAAGACAAACAAACAAGCCCCAAAACCCAAGAAAAGACAAACAAACAAGCCCCAAAACCCCCCCAAAAAAAAACAAGCCCCACACACCAAAAAAAACAAACAAACAAACAAACAAACAAGCAAACACAACAACAGCCCTGGCCCTCGGGTCCCCAAAAACTTGCTGGTGCTATAGATCGGTAGGGAATGTGGGAATGAACCCAAGGGTCCCCTGAAAGGAAACCATAGGGGGTGGTTTGTAGGGGTCCCCAAATGGAAAGCCTGGCCAAAAGGGGGCCCCAAATTTGTACTTTGGACAAGAAATTTCTGCTTCAGGAATCTCGTTTGTGTGTTCCATGCGAATTTGCCAATGTGGCTGTTCATTGATTGATGCTCCCGAACGCGGCACCATCAGATTCAAGAGCACACATTGACAAAAACAACTTGCTTGAACCAACCTACTTCGTACATATAGGTTCCAACAATGTCTATGCGAAAGCCAACTTCGTTTTCTACGCTGACAACAATTGTGACATCACCTCGCTTACGCAGGTTGATTGTCCATGCCCGAAAAAGGCTTTGCTAAGCCATGTTCACGCGTAAACTCGGTGGTTGATGGTAATCATGGTGACTGTTCAATTTCTTCTCCCTTGTCCCATTCAACCCTAGTTACAACCGTCAGCTTCGGATTTCGGGGCACATGGGCTGTGGCTCAAAAAATGGAATCCCCAAACTGGCCCCTAGGTAGATGGAACCACAGAACACCTGCGGTTTGCCCTAGCTCTTAAATGCTGAGCCACACCCTGACACACTGGTGAGGCTCAGAAAATCCCAGGATTACTTCAAAGGGTTCCAAGTTCGAAGCCCTGGAATATCCGGGGTGCCAAAACCCGCTCTTGAATGCGGAGCCGCAGGTCTTGTGCAGGAGGCTTCCACTGAAATCCTATATGGTCCTCCGGACTAATCCTAAGCAACCGACAGGGGTACGCCTAAAAACTCCCCCCCAATACTATTGCCTTCAAACCCAGCACTTCCCAACACTAATGTCGACCCCATATTCATCAACCACGGTTTTTCTGTGCCCGGCAAAGGAGGGGAAGCCATTTGGACGAGGATCGTAGCGGAAACTTCCTGGGAGCCCCTGGCAACCTAATAGATATCGTTCCGTGCGCAGGGGATTTTCTGTTATTAGGGGGGACTAATTAGTTCCTAGGGGGAAGGGATGATTGTTGTCCGTTGCTCGCCATGTTTCTACTTGAAATCGACCTAACGCCTTTTGCTTTCACTTACGTTCACCCATGGCAACTCCCAAATGCGGACCGGGTACCTTCCCGTTCCTTGCTCATGTCAGGCCCTTCACCCTTAAAGAACGCCCTAACCTGGGGATGGTCAACCAAGCACACTGTCATGACCTAGACAGTTCCGACCATGGAGCCATTTACGGACCTCTCTGTTTTGTTGGTCGCTCAGAAGCAAGACCTATGCACCTGTGCACCTGGCACGTCCCCCCAATCTCCACATGGAATCATGTTTACTACATATTCACCAACCTGAGTTTATTTGCAGGGGTGTGTTTTGGGGAATGGGAATCAGACCAAATTTTGGAGGGCCCCCCGCCCCCCCAAGAAATAAACTGGGGTTGAAAATAATATTGGGTCCACATTATGACTGGAGGCCCTAAAAAAACAATGCCCGGATTTCTAGGAGACCCGACCCCTGTCTATTAATATGGGTGTGTTCCTCTCCAAAAGTGATGTATCCCCACTAAAACCCAGGACGCCCCAAATATTGATAGACAGAGGTTGATTAATCCGGGGTCAACATTACTAGGCCGGGTCTCAAAACCCTTAGCTGGAAATCTTAGCTCGAACCTTAGCTGGAAAATCTTAGCCTGCAGCGCAATAAAATGGGGGCTTGGGGAAGAGTCGCCCTTGGCAACTTTGTTTGCTCTTGGAGACGCTCCTGCAGCAACTGGGGGATCCAGGAGGTGAAGTTCAGGGCCACGCAGCACTCAATGGCCGCTTCCTCACGCGCGGAAAAGTTGGTTTCGGAGGCCGGGTTTGCGTCAAAACAAAACAGCCGCCGTGACATTTCACGGGGGCAAAGACGCGCCTTCGGGTTGCTCTTTCTCCTTGTCATTTTTTTAATTGGGGGGGTGGCAAAGTCTCGAAGAGAGATGTCGTCAAGGGCAACTTACTCCAAACGAAGGAAATTGATGCTAATCTACATCTACTAGATATCGGGCTCTAGAACTCGGTTGGCTCCTCTGGATCCCCGCTACTTAACTTTTTGCGCACCGACGAAAAGCAAACACATTGGGTGGTCGAATACGTTGATTAAGATCGCTTTCGGTCTGAGTAAGAAGATGCTTGGAGCCATTTCTTTTTGGGGACCGCCATTTCCAGTGAGACCCGAACCAAGCAAACAAACAGCTAGGTCCTCCAGCAGAGAGGTTACAATAAGGCTACCAACTTTCTTCTGTACTCTATTTTAGTAGGGGAACTCCCAGGGGAACCCTCCCCCCGAAATGGGGAGAGACGGGCACTTACTGGGGGACCTAGAGCGTCTATTTTGGTAGGAGAACCCTCGCCCAGAAAAGGTGGGTGAACTCACCGGCTGAGTAAAATGGCCCAAAGAAAGGAACCAAACTCTATGTCTTCCACTAGAATCTTAGCCCTTAAAACTCCCTGAGCCCTGGGGAAGTTCTCATCTTTTACAGACATATAGCCCATGTTACCCAAAAAGTTGAGAAAAGTCGTGTTTTTTTAAGAGCTAAGGAATGGTCCGGCCTCCAAAAGTCTAAAGCTCATGAACCCAGGCCCCGGTGCTCGAAACGCGAGCGTCGCAGGTCACCGGCTCCGCCGCGAGACCCCTGGCCCTCGAGTCCTCGAAGGGAGGGGTTTGTCCCGGAGGTTGCCCACCCAGGGGGTCCCCAAAGCTGCGTTTGTAGGAGGAAGCTCATATATAGTATAAATCAAATATGTTAATATCAATAGTAATAAACTAATGAACAATTTACATATACATGTTTTTATTGTTCTTGTATTTTTGAAGGAAAAAAAGAACAAACGGGTGGCAAGTGACACCCCTTGGATGTGAAACCCCCTTCCCTATACATTCACTAGGGAGGGGATCAATACTATCAATAGGAACAGCACCACAAAATGGACACTCACTGCAAATTGCACATCGGCAACCAACAAATAATAACTCTAAACCGCGAGAAGGAGAGGAAACATGGGTTTTGATGAGTCCTCCAGGGTTGCCTGCTTTTCTCGGAAGGCTCCTTCGAAACTGGATGTCAAGCGCCAATCCATCGTGCGGGATGCCGGCGGGGCTCTGCAAAAGTTGGGACGAGGCGTGTGCCAACTGGAGGGTGCTCGCATTTTTCGGCGGGTTTGAGACATCACAAGCGATGGCCGGATCGCACGCCCCTTGTGAAGCTGAAGAAAGCGGATCCGGCGAGAGCTCGAAACTCGAAACGCAAGCTCACCGCTGGTCACGTCCGGGATCATCCCATGGCTTAGACTTGGAGTTTGGAGGTTGATGGGAATGTCCTTGAACGTCCCAATTGTGTAAAACAAAAAAGCACGACTCCTCGATCAGCCAAGGGGGTCAACACGGACTCAAACACTAGTTGCCATTGCCGCTTGTTGATTCCAAATTGAATGTAAGCACGTTCCCTCCAATCATGGAAGCTGACGGGAGTTGTTTGGAAGACTCCGGAACTTGTGTGAGGAAGCCCGGAACCCACTTTGTTTGTGGGAAATGTGGGGTTCGAAACGAAAACAAGTGGAAATCACCAATTTGCTAGGTCCTCCCATTTGAGCCGAGATAAAAGCCTGGACGAAGGTAATCTTTCGAACATATGCCATTGTGAACGCAACCTCTTTTTCTTGAAGAAATCAAGCCCCCGGTGATTTATCAGGGCCCTGGTGGGCTCAAATCCCAAGCCCAATTTCCAACTCCAAGAAGGGGCAAAAAGAGATGTCCAGGTTCCTGTCTCCAGTTCAATTGGCTGTGAGGATCGATCCACCAGAAAAAAACCGAAGGGATCTCCAGATTCAACAGGGGGCACTTGTCTGAATCTTGTCAGCCTTGAAGGTTGGGGGAAGGAGGGGGGGGGGCCTTTACTAGTCAGAGGGGAAGCTAGGCAAGGAACCGCAGCCGCCCAGTGACCCAGTTCAGTCCCGAACCAAAAGAGGATTCAGAGGCTGAAACCGAATTGGGACAACCGTCGCAAAGTCATACGCCCCCCCGTCCCCGAAAATGTGCGTCTTGGGGTCTTGGTTGGACCACTCGGTTGGACCACTCGGTTGGACCTGAGATGCAAGAAATGGTCTGGGTACAGCATAGGCAGAAGCCATTCGCAGAGGGCGCCTGAGACCCACATGGGTCATCCCCAAACATCGCAGAAACTCGGCTCCCAGAAATTGGCAACAACTCAAAGCGACAAGAACCCACAGACCACCCAACCACCCGACCCCCCCTTTGGACCCACCCACCCCAACCCAGCGCCTCAAGCAGCTTCAGCCCCTGCCGGAAGCACTTGGTCCCAGCCATGGCCGTAATGGCGCTGCGGAAGAGCAACCGCTCCTCTCCTGGCTCCAAACCAACATATGCCCCCTCTCTTTTTGCCCTCCCACCTTTTGCCACATGGAACCTGACGGGGAGGGGGGGTCCTGGTTTGGACCATTTTCCTTTTAAAGGGACTCCCTGTCAGCTTCTATACCATGTGAACTGGTGGGAGATAAATTTGTATATGTATATATATATATATGTATGTATATTCATGCATCCATAGAATCTATGCATTTATCTGTCTGACGCCCAATTCAAAACTAATCTAAACCAGAACTAAGCAGAACTTGTAGTATACTGAGAGACTACTTGAGTGGGCCCAACTCTGACTCCCAGTTTCCCAAATTGGCTATGCGCAAAAATATGACATCCACATACAGGTATCCACATTGCATTGCATACACTGGGGGGTAAACGCTCGGACCTCGGTGTTCCACATACGGGCCTTTTGGTGACCCTTTTGGGCTGCTCAAAATTCAGTCATGGGCAGCATCCCTCAGATGCCCAGTGGCCATTGGAGAAAAACAAACACGGGCATCCATGCTTTTTTTGGTTGGGTTCTTTGGCTAAGGAACCCAAACCAAAGGAAACCAAGCTGGAGAAATTGGTCCCTGTGCTATCTGAGATGCACCAAGTAGACCCTGGCACCAGAGTCGATTCCATTTTGAGGAAGGAACTCGGCAAGCGAAAAGGGACTTGGAGGAAACATCCGCCCTACCATAGGGGGGAGGGGGGTGGGGCGTCACCCAGTTTCATTTATCTAGTCTTCCCTATAAAAGGGAAAATGACCCATAAATGGAATTCCACGATTTGACCTCCCCCCCTCCCGCAATTCCAGTTTCTTCCATTCGCCTCAGTCCCCCCTTTAAGCGAAATTCTAGTAGTGATAGATTCCCTTCAAAACCGAAAACACGCGCTTAAAACGTCACATACTCTTCAGCACGTGGAAGCCCAAGGGCTGGCCACGACCCCAGCTCCGACCCGCTCCAGCCGGGAAGGAAGCCCCCGCCTACGCGCCGATGGAGTGCCTCCTGCAGCAGCAGCAGCACCGCCTGGCGGGGGGAACCGCGTTTCTGGGCCCGGTTTCCTCACTGGCTGAGTGGATGGCCCAAAAAAAAGTAACCAAACTTTATATATTTATCACCAAAATGGTCTTCCCACAAAGTCTAAAGTTCATGAACTCAGGAAGTGAGTTTCTGATCCCCCGCTAAAAGTTTTTTTCTGACTTCTAGTGGGTTACATGGAAACGACCACTCAAAACTCTAAACGGCTACAAAGCTAAGGAACCGGATGGCTGGGAGCCAGGTTCGGCTTCTGGAAGTTCCGAGTGGCCATGGGTCAAACCAGTGAACATCCCAATCCCCACGAAAATAGGTTCTGAAATGGGTGGTGCACCTACCCCAAAGTGAGATCCGATTGGTTTTGACCCACAGCCAAGTGAAGGTGAGCCGCTCAACCGGAGAAAAAAGAAAGAAAGAAAAAACACGTTTTCGAGACTACGCTTTGAGCATGTCAACTTGATGGACCCAGTCCCACTCCTGAGGCGTGATTTTCGCGACAACCATGCGAATCATAGTCAACCCTGTTGTTAGGTGGGGCGCTACACCAACAACAACGTAATCAAAAGCCAGGGCCGATATCGACACCTACTTTTGGCTGCCTGTCCTCTGTCCCCAGCTTTCAAGTTTGCCTGCGGAACAACTCCCAAAAGTACATTCTAAAAAAAAACATATAAAACTATTCCTATAAAGTACATAACTTCTTGTCAATCCATGTGGGCCTTTCTAGCCAGCCAGAGTGGTTTCGCACCTGCTCCAACCACCTCCTCCACCCTTCCTCCCGCCTTGGGCTGGTTGCAGGTCCCGCAGGCCTCCATCAGCGCGGCAAAGCCCGCGGCGTCCTGGCAGATGCCAAAAAACCAAAGCCCGCCGCGTTCCATCCGCACAAATGGCAAAGTGCTCGTGACCTAAGACAACCAAAGAACCAAACGACCAAAGAACCAAAAACCAACAACTCCCAGCAACTCACAACAACCAAATGACAAACAATCAGCCAACCATGCAGGCCGAGGGCGCCAAAGACTTGCAGGAGGCGAGGTCCTCCAGTAGAGAGGTTAGAATAAGGGTACCAACCTTTTCTGTGGTCTGTTTTAGTAGGGGAACCCTCCCCCAAAAAAGGGGTGCGAAAGCGCACTAGTGGGAGACCTAGAAGGTGATCCCCTTTTGGACCTTGAGAAAAACATGGACCTTTTGACCCTTTGTGTTCCCTCTTTTGGACCTTTTGGACCTGAAAATGGGAAAACCGAAAGGTTAAAAGGTCGATTTGCGTTGGGCAAGTGATGGGGTCCTCTCCAAAGGGTCCCTCCAACTTCCATGGCCGTTCTCGCCTGGAAAAGTATGAACATATTTCCACTAGTGATAGATTCCCTTGAAAACCAACAAGGGTTCTTTGTTACATAAAAGCAACTGGAAGATAGCACCAGATTTGCAAACAACACCATGTTACCCTTAATATAGCGGGAAAATAAAACACACATCTTAAGCAACTTCCTCCCACGCTGCCATGGCACCCTTTGCAGGGACCTCTCAGGTGCCACGGCAATGTGGAAAACAGGGTCTCTTTGCTTATTCATGTTGGGTAAGGGTCATGGGATTTGTTTAAACCAGACCTTGGCCCGAAGATGAACCAACAGGTTCTTGAAACCATATGTGCTAAAATGTGTTGCAGTTGGCCCAAAGCTGGTCGGGTCCATGTTCAACCCTAAGCCAGCAGTCGAGCAGCTAAATAATCGGTTTAGGTTTCACTAAAACAGTCTAAATAGTTGAATCCTTCGTGACTGCCACTGTCAAATGTCATATTTGTTCATCAGCTTGGTCAAGAGCAACGATGCAAAATGTTCCCAAATGTTGCCCCAAGCCCCTAAGAGGAATAACGTCATCCAACGGGTACTTCACAGATCTTGGCCCAAGGGCAAAAGGGACCACTTGATGACGGCAATGAGTGACCCTGGCAGAAGGGGCTCAACTGGGCTCGAGGTAAGCCACCATGAACCGGCAACACCCAAATGCCCAGTCAGCATGAAAGGTCCTGCCACTCCAAGTGAACAAAAAAAGCCAAACACACATGCCATTCACGGTGAAGTGCGCAACTCAGACCAAGTCGCAGTTAAACCCAGGGAATTCCTTTTGCTTGTCACCGTTAATCACCTGAACATGCTCCCTTTGATCAATCATCCCAGCAGCATCCTCATTGAAATCACTAGCCTTGGTCTGTGAAAGAGAGAAAACTTGGCCCGAGCCTGGGGGGTACTCCAAAAGAAGTCATAGGCTTAGAGTCTGTCCCCTATGTAGTCTAAAACAGGAGCTATAAATCTGGAGACACCAGAAGGCTATGCCCAGTTGTCTGGCGACCTCCGTCTGCTTTCTCTTCTTTGATTCCTTCTTTGTTTTGGGGGGTTAGTGGGCAACACAAACAAGGGAACCGACTGGATGGAATCCACGAAACTTGGAAAATAAGTTGGGTTTCCATGAGGTTCAGTACTCGGTGATAGTTAGCTCCAGTTGGCAATGACAGCAAATAGGGAAGCCCGAAAAATCATCGAATCTGTCCACCAAAGAATCACAAATTGTAATTCGAACCCATTTACTACAAACAAAAAGGACGAGAGAAGCAAAGACGCGGGTTTGTCGTGTTTTAGGGACCCCTGGAAATGGGCGGTGTCCCTTTAGGTTTCCCTTTTAAACACCCACAAAACAGGTACCCTCAAAAGCGACAAACACAGAACACACACACACACAGTTGAAGAGTGGGTTCCGCTCGCTCGCAAATCGTTACGAACATGTTCAACCAAGTCAGCAACATAAAATAGGACACGGAAGGCAAACATCAAGCGGAATAAGACAGACAGACGGACGGACGGACGGACGGACGGACGGACGGACGGACGGACGGACGGACGGACGGACGGACGGACGGACGGACGGACGGACGGACGGACGGACGGACGGACGGACGGACGGACGGACGGACGGACGGACGGGACGGACGGACGGACGGACGGACGGACGGACGGACGGACGACGGACGGACGGACGGACGGACGGACGGACGGACGGACGGACGGACGGGACGGACGGACGGACGGACGGACGGACGGACGGACGGACGGACGGACGGACGGACGACGACGACGGACGGACGGACGGACGGACGGACGGACGGACGGACGGACGGACGGACGGACGGACGGACGGACGGACGGACGGACGGACGGACGGACGGACGGACGGACGGACGGACGGACGGACGGACGGACGGACGGACGGACGGACGGACGGACGGACGGACGGACCGGACGGACGGACGGACGGACGGACGGACGGACGGACGACAGACAGACAGACAGACAGACAGACAGACAGACAGACAGACAGACAGACAGACAGACAGACAGACAGACAGACAGACAGACAGACAGACAGACAGACAGACAGACAGACAGACAGACAGACAGACAGACAGACAGACAGACAGACAGACAGACAGACAGACAGACAGACAGACAGACAGACAGACAGACAGACAGACAGACAGACAGACAGACAGACAGACAGACAGACAGACAGACAGACAGACAGACAGACAGACAGACAGACAGACACACCCACACACCCACACACACCCACACACCCACACACACCCACACACCCACACACACAGACACACAGAGACGAAAATACAGTAACAAAATATTCTTAAGGAAAGGGAAGAAAGGGACCAACAAAACCCAGCGGAACCCCCCCGAGCTTATCGGCACCTGCTTGACGGCACCCTTGGTCAAGTTGGATTTTCTTACAGCCTCAATTGACAGCCCCGGGGCCATTTTAGGGCCATTTTGGGTGAGTGGGCCATTTTTCTTACACCCTTGGGTGACTTGGGTGAGTGGGCCATTTGAGCCAACAGCCCCGGCATGGCCCGGCCCCGGCATGGCCTGCTGCTCCGGCATGGCGTCGAAGGCCTCGACCGCGGCGCTCAACCGCCCGGCGCGGCCCGAGACCCGCAGCGCCCGCGGGAAGTCACCGCCCTGGCGGGGAATTGATCGGTGACTCGTTGGGCGCAGACCTCCTAGGTCCTCCAGATTTGAGAGGTGCTCGAAGAAGTGGGTACCCGATTTTGTTTCTGATTGGTCGATTTTAGCAGGGGAACCCTGGGTACAAGGGCACTGGGGGAGCTAGCCTCCTCTGGAACTCACAATTTGGTCAAAATGGTAAGGGTCTCCCAGTGGTTTCCCTTAACCCAAGCCCGTCCAAGGGTCATAAAGGGGTGTTGCATTTGGGGGTATTGCTGGCCTCTAGGCCAAAGAGCCAACAGATTGTCTAGGTCCTCCAGTAGAGAGGTTAGAATAAGGCTACCAACTTTCTTCTCTTTAAATAGTTTATTTGAGTAGGGGAAGCCTCCCCCAAAAAAGGGGACATCCCCCCCTACCATAAGGGGGAGGGTGGCTTGTCCCCAACTCCATTGACCTGGTCTTCCCCAAGAAGGGAAATGGAACCATACATGGAATTCCAGAAAACACCCCCCTCCCCCAATTCCATACTTAAGGGGCGGGGATGTGCAGACCCCTTCCTCTGAACCGGAGTCCTTCTTGTCCAACCATCCCATGACCCGGAAACAGCCATCGGTTGTTGAAAGAAGGATGGTGACGAATGGGGAAGATCAAACCTTAGAACTGTGGATCCAAGAATCCCGGTTCCTCTGGAAATGCCAACGAAGAGTGGCTTCAACCATGGTTCTCAGGCGCTGCGAGATGGATTTCGTCCATCTACTGCTGGTGCGCAGTAGGTAGGGAATGAGAAACGGAATCAACCCAGGCTTTGGCCTTCGAAGGAAACCCAAAGAGATGAATTTTCGCGGGGTCATTCCATTTCTCATTCCCTGCTGGGCACCGTGGATGACCCATTTAATGCACCAGCCTTCAGAACTCTGGAATGATTTAATTCCCCTGGAAAGCACAAGGGCAACCCACAATCCGACCCTTCTCCTGGGGCCAGCGTGGTCCAAAGTAGGACACCACGTTGGAAACCAGGTCGAACCTGCATTTCCCTAGCAGTTGCAATTCACTAGGATACATCCAAAGCCTCCTGCTTTAAAATATCAAGGGATGCCCTAAAGCCGGTGAGCACGATTTTTCAACTGGCCCAAATGCATCTTTTTGTTGGGACCATGTTCAGCAGTTTGGATGAGGCCCCCGTTTTTGTTGCCAAGCCGAGTCGCTGATTCCCGGATGTAGTCCCACATCTCCTCAATCAGCTCCGACATCTCTTCATCATCCACCTGGACTGAGCTTCTGGACCCAACCAGCTTGAGACTGGCAACAAAACCTCCGTGTCGACAACGGCTTATTTTGAGAGCCCCCAATGCACAAGGTGGGGTTGGCAAATGATCACACTGGGCGCTGCAGATCTTTTCCTGGTGCCGCATCCGCGGAATCAGACATTGATTGGCCTGTTCCAGGAATTCCCCGCAACCTGTAAACTTCAGAGGCTGATCCACGCCACTGCCGGCATGCAAAACAAGTACCCAGATTTTGCCTTGCGACCTTTTGAAAAGGTAGATCGCCCTGGTAAATGGGATGAAAACAATCTGAACCAGCCGTTTAGATTGAATCAAACTAACCGAAAAGGACAATGAATGTTGCAAGTAGGAATTCTTCGCCACAGGTCTCCTTTTTTTTGCAGATTTGGACTTGGCTCAGATTTGGAGGAGCTCCAAGAAAATTGGGTGAAAGAACCGATCCTTACCTTGCGGTTGTCACGCCCAACCCCCACGGCCCTCCCACACGGCCACGTTTCTCCGATGACCATGAGCTTGCTGGTGCGATAGGCAATGAGAAATGGAATGAACCCAGGCTTTGGTCGGGGCCCTTAAAGGAAACCACCAGATTCCCTCAATCCCCTGAGCACCAGCAAGTGGGGCAACTTAGTTTGATACTCCCGGCCCAGGCCCTATGGTTGGTAGGCGCAACTTGCCCATCTTTAAGATCTCCTCACCATGCCCTGCGCGCTCCCAAGTAACTTACCAACAACAAGGGGGGCAAGCCATCTCTTTCACCCCACTGCGCATTCACATTGAACCATTGAACCCCCGGCTCGTTTCCCAAAAGCAAACTCAACACATCGCGGTGTTCCTCACTTCCAGAATGGATTGACCAACCAAAACCTAGTTATCACTAACATGGTCCGGCCCCACAAGAGCCCCAACAAGTTCCAAGTCCAGTATCTCAGGAAGTTCGTTTCCGGGGCAACCCCCCGGAAGAAGGGTTGCCATAACTGGACCTCCAGAGGTCGCGATTGGCCGAACTGCCCCAATTTCATCGGATCCGGGGGCGGAGATCCGCCACGAGCCTTTGGGAAAAATCATGTGATCTCCTTTGGGCGCATCCGGGGGTGCAGATCCAGGGAAAAAAGTTGCCCCAAGAGCGGTCACCTTTACTTGGTTGACGTTGGAAGGGGAGCAACAATTTAAATTTTAGCAGTTAAGTGGGGACTTCAACCACTAAACCACAATAAGCAAAAATGTAAAATGTTTCCCAACCACAACCATGTTTAGAGGCCACGCAAATGACCCAAAAGGGAAACCCAACGGGTGAGATCTGATCCATTCGCTTTGCTGTTCGGTGAGTTGGGACCATGTCCTGACAGAACTCCTGGTGGCTAACCCCCAGCTGCATGGCTTCCTTCCAACCACTAGCTAGGAGCTCGGCCTCGGTAATTAAAATCAAACTTGGATACCAGCTCCTTGGCTCGGCTCGGCCCCCAACCCCAACCAGCCAGGAGTTGGGGCTAGTAATGTTGACCCTATTAATTTCAACCCCAGTTTTCTCATAGGGGGTGGGGTGTTCCCCTCCAAAAGTGAACAATCCCCACCAAAACCAGTTGGACACCCCCATGAGAATAAACAGGCTGGTTGAAATTCAAAGGGGGTGTTCATTCGTACTTTGTCCCGCGAAATTCCCGGATGTTTTGATCGGGTTTAGTCATAGGGGGTGTCCATTCCTATTTTTCCCTTTCCGCCCACTCCACTCCCTGGAGATGTTTGTTTATCCCAGGCGCCGGTGAGGACATGCGCCCCGGCCGTCGCACGCCTCGGCTCCTGGAGGCCAAGACCACCGCCACCACGCGCCTACGAGAGGCTGGCTCGCGAGGCTCGCGAGGCTCGCGAGGCTCGCGAGGCTCGCGAGGCTCGCTCGCGGGGCGCAGGGGGCAGGGGTGCCTGAGTCGGTTGAAGTCCTCAACCAACAAGGGATCATCAAAACAATACTCTTAAGCAAATGGACGTAATTGGGGGTTCTTTTTTGCGGGGGAACCCCCCAACAAAAGGTGGTTTTCCTGTCGGCATTGGTTCCCCTTTGAACCCATCCGAAAAAGGGCACCTCAGGTTTCCTGTTTGATCGGGCCAGAGCTCAGCTCAGTAACTAGTAACACAAATCTTCAGGTTGCCTTTCCAGTCTGGGTTGTTCAAATAGTTCTGTCCTGGATCCCAAATCATAATCCTATCCTGTAGAGCATGCCAAGGGACACCACACCTGACAAAAGATCAACGCCAAAGGGAGATCGGACAGGAAACATATCGCAGGTGTGTTGCAACTTCAACTTGTTGATCCTGAACCTCATCCTCTTTGCACATGTGTGTGTGTGTGTCTTTTTAACGAGGCACCCAACATGGGTGGTTGTTTCCTTTGGTTTCCCTTACCTGTTCCATCATGCGGAGTTCGGGTTGGGAAGGGACAAGTGGCCCCTTGGCTGCCCAATGGCTCGTGTACTCTGACCCTTGTGGTGTCCTTTTGCATTTGCAATGAACAAACCTTGGTTTACCATAATTAATCGCTGTCCTCATGTGTCATGCTTTCTTCCTTGCAGAGGGGAGGTGTAAGGCATGCCACTTCGCACCCTCCAAGGACGGCTTCTTGGGCAAAACTTGGCTTTCCTCCATTTGCTTAAGACCCCTGGGAAAAATAATACTGCTTCCAGTAGTGATAGACTTCCTTTAAACCCAACATGCTTTCTTCCTTGGTTTTTTCAATGCAAATGGAAGCTTTCTGGACACCAGTTGGGATAAGGGTACCCTTTTGTCCGTAGCCTATTTTAGGGGAACCTCCCCCAAGTTGAGGGGTGAAAGGGCACCAATTGCTGGACCTAGTCACAGGAAAACCTGGCCGTCGCTGGGGAGAACGACGGGCGATCTCCAGCCCAAGGCGCTCGTAGATCTCCACATCCGGCACCAGGCCAGCGTCCGTCAGGCGCAGAAGAATCTCCACGGCCGCTCGGTCTTGGGCGTCCCTGGCGTGATTTTTCGAGGCCAGGATGCGGGAAACAAAACAAAAAAACAAAAAAACATGGAGAACACACACCAAAAAACAAACTGACATGGAAAACCCCTGATTGGTGGTTGAACAAATCTGACTTCGCATGAGAGCCTATTGAACAGAAAAGTAGGCCTGTCACGGAGCTTCGCGGACCCGAGTTTTCGGGACACGCTTTCGCGAGCTTTCTCGATGCAGGGTGTTCCTTTCGCGGAACTTGGGAAACTGTTTCAGGGCTGCCCGTTTTCTGATCCCCCGCTAAAAGTTTGACTAACTTTTAGTGGGTTACATGGACACTACCACTCCACACTGAAAGGCTACAAAGCTAAGGAACCGGATGGCTGGGCGCCACCAAGGATTTGATAAACCTCGTCGTGGGGTTGTTGGGCGCTCACTTGCAGTCGCTCAAGCACACACGCAGACAGACAGACCAGACAGGACAGACAAACAAACGCAGACACTCCGCACATCTGGGTCCCAAACAGAATTATGGAAAAACTTCCAAGCGTGGAACGGGGATGGCAAGATAAATCCACAAAGCTGTCCCCATGAAACAGCGCACATCCCTCAAGATGTTTAACAACCTCCAAAGGACATTTAATCTGAGAAAGACCCGAAAGGATAAACTCTAGGGGTTGATTCCCCATTCTTTTCAACCATCATTCTTTTCAACAACCGATCGCTGTTTCCCCTGAGGTTCTGATGGTTTTCTGAACTGAAGGGTCCCTGGAAAGAATGGGGAAGTGTCCCCCAGAAAAAAAAAGAAGAAAGAAAAACATCCACGCAATCTGTCCCCTTGAAACAGCGCACATCCCTGAAGAAATCCACAACCTTCGTCAAAGGAAATCTCATTTGAGAAAGACCCAAAAAGGTAAAAAATGCTTCAACCAATACTAGGTCTTCCAGTAGAGAGGCTAGAATAAGGGTACCCTTTTTCTGTTATTTTAGTAGGGGGACCCTCCCAACCAAAAAAGGACACGGTAGAGAGCTGTTCTCCTGTCCCGGGGGACCTAGACTAGGCTTTTTCCATTCGCCTCTTGCAGGCTTTCAGGAGATCCTTGTAGGATTCCAAGCCCAGGTCCGTCTGCCAGGCGCGCGCCTCGCCCCGATGATGTTCGGTCGTGTTGAGTGAAGCGTGACTTCCATGTGCATTTTTTGCCGGCGAAAAGTGAGAAACAATGTCCAGTAGTGAAATCAATCCCCTTTGCAACTAACAAGGGAAAAGGAAAAGACGTCCTTTCAGCAAATAAACATAGAGTACATCCTGTTTCGATAGGCATAGAATGAGTTGGAATGACCCCGAGATGAAACCATATTTTAAGAGAATTCCCGTCCGGTTCAAAAGCACGACGCTCTTGTTATTTGTTCATTTCCAACACCCGGAACGCTCATTCCCCAAGGCCAAGCAAGATTACATGGACCTTTCTAAAAGGAGCTTCCGTATATCCTGATGCTTCAATTTGGTTGCTGTTGACCCCCCTGCAACAGTTTTTTTGGGAGTTTAGTGGAAAGCCCCTTGATTTCCCAAAAGGGTAAAGTCTAAAGATCCAACTCCATAGCAGTCAAGTCAAGAGGGCAAGAAACCCTGATGTAAAGCTTTACCGACAAACACTTCGACACCAGGCCACCCTGGTGGGGTATCCGCAGTGTCGTTGAAACGCTTGGAGATTGACCTCTGCTGGGTCCTCCAGTAGAGAGGCTAGAATAAGGATACTTGATTTTTGCTGTCCCCCAAAAAAAGGGAGGGTTCAGGGCACAGGGCACTACTGGGGGACCTGGTCTGTGTAGTTGTGCAGCTAATGGGCTCAACGATGCCTTTGGGCACTACAGGGGAAAGCGATTTGCAAGATTGCCGGATGGGTGCTGGTGGGAGTGCAGTTTGGGGGGTGCCACGGCATGCAGTTTGGTTGCTGGTGCATGTGATGTTTGAGGGTGCTGTTTGAGTGCTGGTGGCGGTGCGGACGCATTGTTACGAAATTGCGGAGGGGTGCTGTTTGGAGGTGGGCGCGGGCGCGTTTTTGCGAGATTGACGGTGGGGTGCCAGGGGGCATGCAGTTTGGGGTGCTGGCTGGGGTGCGAGCGCATGCTTGCGAGATGGACGGCTGGGTGCTCTGGGGGGTGCTGTTTGGGCCGCTCTTCGGGGTGTGCTGTTAAAGGTACTGGTGTGCAATCATCGGCATTTGCTTCGCTATCTGGGGTCTATGCTACTGTATTTTAATCGGCAGTGCCCACCAGACGGGTGAGAGCTGCGAGATTACTTGGTGGACTCAAGCGCCATGGCAGGTTCACCGTGGCATATCGGGTGCTGCTTAGTTCGGTCGCGTTAGGGCCGGGACCCCTGCTTGTGGTGGGCTCATGGGCATGTCCGGGCAGGAAGTGCTGATGCGAACCAAGGCATCCTTAAAAGCAACCAAGGCTGGATCTCCTTTGGCCAAATCCCTTCATATCAGGGAATAATCTGCTCCTTTGGGGATCTGGACAATTAAATGCTGAGAGGTGAGCCTGTGAGCCCCGCAACGCGTGTTGTATCGTATCTTGGAGTCCACTCATGGCCTCAACTAGCTGCATTTCAAGGGCACCTCCAAACGGCAAAGAAAAGAACATCCTGATTTGGCTGGTTGATTCCAAGCTCCAAGCTCACAAAGAGCTCACTACGCTGGTTTGCAACTGGAAATTCGCGCGGCGACTCAAAGCTCTGGTCCTACCTGCCAACTTGTTGGTCCTATCAGTTGAAAGGAACGTGGCTGGTTTACCTCTCGGATTGCCTTTCAGTGCAGAGGAATCATTTGCATCTTACATGCTCGCTTGTTCTTACGAGGGGGGTGAGAACAAGACCGGGCTCATTGCTACTGGTCGGGGGTACACCCGTGTTACAGGGAAACCAGCAGAAGCGCAGTTGGGAATCAAACGACCTTCTTCGGCTTTGAAGGGGACCTGCCCCCCATGCCAGCTTCCAGATGGAAACGCTCAACGAGGGATTCCCTAGCAACGTGCAAAGCGGCATGGTCCTCGGTCTTTCGTCAAATCCAAGCAAGAGGACTCATCCCTGTACCTACCTTCATATCTGCCTGCTTGGAACTTTGCCATTCCTTGTGCATTGAAGAAGGTTGTCGGCGATGGTAGGTGTGGCCTCCTACTCCGAAAATACCATGGACATTCCAAAGCACAAGTAACTTCCAAGTGATGGTATCTGCACGCCCGCATGAAGCTTGGCTTGAAAGGCCCATCCCCAACAAACCTCTGAGCGACGGTCAATACTCATTGAATCCCGGTGAGACCCCGCCATGTCCCTTTGGCAGTCATCACATGTGAGCTTACTTGCCAAAGAGGACATGGGAAAATCAGTTGCTGGCTTTTGCGGGGACAAATTGGCGAGTCCCCCTTCTCGTCCCTATCAAATGGACCATATGCAAGCTAAAAACCAGGCCCAATCCAACGAGCAGCAATTTTTACAAGTTGGCCAAGGTTCACCCCGGATCAACCACCCTTTTGCTTTTTTGATTCAAAGGAGACGTGGATGGATCACTAAAAAGACCACCCCCCATATGTCAAAATCAACCCAGGGTTCCCACGGCTCGTTTCGGACTTTCCTGGTCGAAAGTGTCCCTCGACACGTCCGTGGCCTTGTTAAGGAGATCTATGGCAGTGCGCCACCTAACTCCGAAGGGATCCATCGAGCGCACGTGTCACGTGTCAGGCAGATCGAACGGGCAGGTTGTCTAGGTCCTCCAGATTTGAGAGGTTAGAATAAGGGTACCCACTTTTTTCTCTAGTCTATTTTAGTAGGGGAACCGAATCTCCCCCAAAAAAGAAACGGTAAAAGGGCACTACTGGGAGACCTAGTCATGTTGACCCCGAGTGATGAAACCCCGTTGCAAATTGATAGGGGTGTGCGTGTCCAACTGGTGAAATGTGGTGAATCAGACCAGTTTTGCAGGGCCCCCACGCCCCTTATTAAGAAACTGGGGTTGACATTAATATGGAGTCAACATTAAAACTCAAGCAAGTCAAGATCATAGGAGCAGATGGTTAGTACTCGTGTCGCCTCTGGTACTCGACAGTTGGTAGGGAAATAACAAAAACAACTGAACACGCATTTTCTACGCTGGCGTCTTGGTTGCTGTTGACGAGGGTTTACGGGTCCAATTGAAAATCCACTGTTTCCCAAAAAGTCAAAGTCCAAAGATCCAACCAAATAGCCATAAAGGCTTTGCGATCCTGGAAGGGGGGACTCAGTGGTCTGTTAGGAGCCCCCCCCTCCCAACGTCTCTTCTCTTCAGGCCCTAGGAATGTCCAGCAGCACCTTGTCAGGATACCTTTTTTAGAACCAGTTTTGAACGCGTGGGGTCCACCATTTCAGAGAACCCGTATAGGACAACACAGCAATCGTACCTATATATGTGCACAATGTATAGGACTTGCACGATATACAATATAATAAACTTGTGTGGACAATGAAGCCGTGCCCCCGAAAGCCAAATGCTCTTGTCTTGCGAATGTGAGCGTCCTGCTCGACAGTTTCTGGGCCTTTCCAAGAACCGATGCCAACTGATTCATGTCACCCATTGCCCCAATTCTCCAAGCGCATGAACACCAGCCGGCTTTGATGAGTTGACCATGCCCATGAGTGATGGTTTGTTTTTGGGGCCAAACTGAAAATCCAGCCTGCTGCGTCCTGCACAGACCCTCTCCCCAATTTGGATCAAATAAAGGAAGAGGCCACCCCAAGACGTGTAGAAGCCCGACCCCTGTTCATTGCCGGTCAATGTTGATCAACATGGGTTGAACACCCAAGAACAGTTTGTTTACCCCGGCTTTGAGAGTGAAACTGGGGGAGAAAGCCAGGTCTGCACCCAATGTCAAGCCTTTAAGGGGTGGCTTCCCACAAGTGGAAGAAGATCCTTTCCAGACTTGCTCAAAGGAATTGGACATAGCAGACAAACCTTTTGGAACCTTCACTAGACATGGACCAAAGTGGGGAGACCAAAAGGTCCAAAGATGTCCAAAGGTCGGCGTTGGACAACTGAGAATTTATTGAATGGGGCGCTCCCCGACCACAATCAAGGTGATGAACTACTGGATCGATTGAAGTGACATCCTCAAATAGCATCTCTAAATGGCGCCTACTTGGCCCCTCAAGCCTCAAAATGCTCACTTGCAGGGACCAGAACTAACAACCGGGAATCAGTGCTCATCAAGGATCAAAGCATACCAGTGACATCACAAAGGGCCCTGCATGGGTATTTCGCTCGATTTACCCTCGAAATCAACTCCTTATAGCTCCATTGGGGGCTTGGGATCCCTTGTGGGTAACTTAGTTCTATGAATGAGAATCCACAACTAAGCCCGTTGACCCCTTCATTCCCTCTTAACTAATCAAAACTTGTCCTTCCAGGTCCACCTTAGGACCGCCTTTCCTCACTTGCAAGCAACCTGTTTATTCACCAACATGGTCTTCCCAAAAAGGTTTAGAATGTCCACGGCAGGAAGTCAGCCTCCATTTCCTCTCTCGTCCCCTGGAAAAACAAAAAACACATATTTCCAGTAGTGAACAACAGAGGAAAACATCAATTGAATCAAGTATTCTTAACCAAATGGAAGAAACCAATCCTTTCTAAAGGTGACTAACTTTTGGTGTGTCAAATAAACATCTAACCAAACCAACTAAAAACCAAATGAGCAACTTGCAAAACCTCTGGTATAGGACAAGGATATTGCTCGGTTGCTTTCTGCTCCCCTGCTAAAAGTGAACAACTGTTATTGGTTTAATGGAAAACCCATTAGTTGGCAAAAAGTTAAAGTCCTAACATCCAAGCAAAATGCACCAAAGAACAGGTAGCTGTGACTGATGCTGCCACCCGCAAGTCTGCCCGACCCTGTTGTGTCATGCCATTCTTGGGGGTATGACTTCAACCCCTGAAATCATGTCCTTCCCCTGAGGTTGGGTGGCATTTTCAATTTTGCCAGGTTCCCCTCCCACCGCTCCCGTCCGCCAGGCCGGCGGATCGATCCGCATCCGCGCCTGCCGGGTCTGGTGGCCTGCGCCAGCTCCGCCAGCAGCCGCCGGGTCTGCGGCGAGGGGCGGCGCTGGCGCCGCAGCGTCTCCCAGGCCTTCCGAGGCGCTCCGAGGTGTGCACGGGTGCAGGCGACCAGCAAAAATTGGTGGGGGGGAGGGGGGGAGGGGGGTGAGAGGGGGTGAGAGGGGGTGAGAGGGGGGGTGGGAGGGGGGGGAGGGGGTGGGCTCTCCCGAACAAAACCGTGTTCCCCCTTTCCCCCCCCCCCCCCCCCGGGTAGCAAACGACCCGGGAAAACTTCTAGGGCTATCTTCGTTTAAGGGATCCTTCCGGGTAGCAGGATCCCGAAAATGTCCCTTGCATCGAAGGACAAATTCCTAGGGCTACCTTCCATGTCCATTCTTTTCAAGGGATCCGAATCTTTTCAGAAAACCATCAAAATTCAGGGGAAACAGCGATCGGTGTTTGAAGAAAAGGATGGTTGAAAATAATGGGGAATCAACCCCTAGAAAAATTGGTGGTCTCCCCAAGCAAAGACTAGGTCCTCCAGTAGAGAGGTTAGAATAAGGGTACCAACTTTTTTTCTTCTGTAGTCATGTTTTTAGTAGGGGATCCCTTGCCAAAAAAAAAGGGGGCACTACTGGGGGACCTAACAAAGGTTCAGGCGACCCAAAAATATTGGAGGTCTCCCTAAACAGAGACGTCTCCCCCCCCGGCCCCCGCGAATTGGTGGGATTGGTGGGGATTTGAACCCCTGGTTCTTTTGCTGGGTCAATGGACCCCACCAAACCACCAAAAAACCAAACCACCAATCCAAATCATGCTACCGGAGAGGTGGAGTTGGGGGTGGATGGGGGAATGGGGAGTTGCGGTGGAGTTGTTGGTGCTTCATGTGTGGTCTCCCAAAAAGAAAAAAAAGAAAATACGTCTTCCCCAAAACCAAAAGGGCCCCGTGGCTTCTTTCGAAGGTACCAAACCATACCAAACCACAAATAACATGGAACCTGACGTTCGGAGCCAGTTTCCTTTCTCAAGGGACCCCCGTGTGAATTGGGTGTGGTTTCATGATTATACATGATCGTGCTTGTATAAGTATATGCACCTCAGGTATACCCTTAATTGGTGGTTTGGATCTCGTGGTGGGAAACCACCAAACCACCAATCCAAAACGAAGAAAAGCTAAAAGGTCCCGAGATTTCCCCAAAGAAAAACCTTACAGGAAACACTCACTCGATAGAACAGGCTTCCGTACACAAAAAAAAAAGTGTTCTACTGGTTGATTCCTTTTCCAGTCTTTTCACCGGACATTTTCTCTCTGGGTGTCCGGAGGGTTTCTACAAAGATTCGGACCCCTGGGTTCCGAATCGAAATGGAAGGTACCAGTAGAGTTGTGAGTGTTGCGCAGCGCGGGATTCAGGGAGCTTTGAACCCCAGGCGAGAGAATTCGTGAAAAGGACTAGTTTTGCAGCCCTGCCAGATCTTTTTTGCAACCAAGACCTTCTATTTTGCAATCAAAACCTGCAGTTGGAACTAGGGCATGGGGAAATTCCCACTCCCTATGAGTTATGTTCAAGGCAATGATTTGTTCATCTTCCCTAAGATGTTTATCAGGATCAAATCCTTCATCGGGATAAGGCCGTGGCCTAAAACTGACATGGGACACCCAACGCACGTTTTTTGGGTCGGAGGGATCTCCGCAAAACGACACGCAGCCTCAAAAGTGCAGCTTCAAAACGTGGCCAGACTTGCACCACCAGCATACAATGACTGCTGGGGTAAGAGGCAAATGAAAGAAGCTCAAAAGGGGCAGAAGGCTGTGTTGATCTTTCTAACCAAGGGTTTAGGATGAACAAATGGGTTTGAACGCTCACCCAGAGGGGGAAAAACAAAGCAAACCTGGGCTGTCCGTTTTCAGATCCCCCGCTAAAAAGCTTACAACTTTTAGTGGCCTGAATTCGGAAATCCCCACCAAACACCAAAAAGGATCTAAAAGGCTAAGTTGAACCGGACGGCTGGTTTCCGCCACCAAGAGCCCACTGGACGGCTTTCTGCCTCCAGCACATCCGCCGCCCGCCGCTCGCTGAGCCGCTTTCGGAGCGCCCGCGCTTTCGCGCTTCCAAAACCGGCGGCGGCCAGGGCGAAGGCGTGCCTGGATAGCCCAAACGACTCGATTGCTCTCTGCTCCCCTGCCAAGAGCGAATCACTTTTAGTGGTTTAAAAGGAAAACCCCCTTGGTTGGCAAAAAGGTAAAAAGTCCTAAGATCCCTTTGGCAAAATGAGCCAAAATAAGGGGATGTGGAAGCAAGCTAAAGCAGGACTAGGGGATGATCAGGAATGCGCCGCAAGGACATCGTCGTGGGAGGCCATTCCTTTTGCACCATTGAGGGATCGAATCATTCATGAAGGACGCACTTGGGCTCCAATGCATAACTCAGCAACCTTTCGGCACCTTTTTACTCAAAATGGGCCGAAAAGGGGACACCAAAAGGTTAAAAGGTCGATGCGCTTTGAACAACTGAGATAAAATTAATTTCATTTCTCCTTCCGGCAGGTGCTCATGCCTTACCTTCGCCCAGAAGTTTCAACTTGTGGAAGTGTGAAGTGGCGGCAATGGGCCATGAGGCGCTTTTGGTGCCAGGGCCTGCGGGGGCTCCGTTGGCCACACCTCCCACCTTTCAGCTCCAAGAGCCGAGCCGGAATGCGGAAGGCTTAAATGAAACATGAAAAACCCCCTTCCGACTCAAACCTGAATTCGAAGTCGTGAGCTGCGGGAACTTCCCTCCTGCGATGGATTTGGCCGCAGCTTGTGGCGGCTTGGAGCTCGGGGGCGGGGAGATTCTTGCAAGCTTGGGCGCAGGCTTCTCATGGCCTTCGCTCGAATGAAACCCCCGGGATCGGTGAGCTCGCCCACAATGATGCAGACACGGGCCCAAGTCCCACGCGAAGCGACGGCGGGCGCCGGCGCTTCGCGGAGCATTCCCGAGGACACAATTCCACTCGGGCACTCGGTCACCCGCCGCGTGCCATGGTTTTTAGCGGTTCGCAGCACTCTCCGGCTTCCGAAAGTTGCCCAACTTGAAAGGCTGGCCCTTCCTTTCGGGGGGGGTCCACAGGGTTGCGATGGATTCCTTCCGGGAGCTAGGTTTCCATGCCTGACTAGTTTGAATCAAACCAATCTGGGCACAATAACCCCGAGAAAAACCATCCCTATATTCCCCTCCCTTCAGGTTCATTCCCAAAACCAGGGGTCATTCCGGATCTTCATTAGCTTTACCCCGCATCGGTGAGCTCGTCATCATTCGTGAATTTGTGCGGAAAGCAAGCTGCCAACAAGTAGCTCAATTTTCAGCAACACCCGCTTCGTCGACCAAACCAGGTACAGAAACATGCTCCAGGAAGAAGCCAACTTGGATGGAACCTTTCTGGGGTTGAACTACCAAGTGCCACTAAACACTATCAACGGGTTCCCCTGAAATAACCGGATTCCCCATTGGTGGGGGAGCCAATGCTTGCTTCTTTCGGTCCCTGGATTCAAGGTTGATGTCAGAAATTTATCTGAAACCATCTGAAACCCAACCTTCCGTTTGCTTAAGTCCCAGTAGTCGTAGTGATAGATTCCCTTACAACACTCACAAGCGAGAAAAAAAACAAATCATGTGTTTTCTCTTTCTTTCTTCTCCTCAGCAATTTGCAAACAAACCACGTCCGGGGTGCCATCGCTGAACGCCGCTGCTCCGCGGCGGAAGCCGCGGGGAACTGAAACCCCGCGCGGGCGCGGGCCGCGAGGGCAAAGGCGCGAAGGGCGTCGAGGGCAGGGCCAGCATGGCTTCCCAAAAATGGCGCGGAAAGAACTGGTTTCTCGGTAGCTTTCTGCTCCCCTGCTAAAAGTTGCTTAACTTTTATTGGTGGTTTTTCATGGACAACCCATGTGGCTGCTCCGGAAGTCCTTCCACATGTGACATCCATTTGCTTTTTTGTCCCCTGGAAAAAAAGAACAATATGTTCAGTAGTGATAGATTCCTTTTAAAACCAACAGTGGACAATCAAAATATTATTAACCAAAAGTTTTGCTCAGCTTCTGACCGCAAAGTAGACAGTAACCAAAAGCTTTTTGGGCCCCTAAAATGAAGGAAGAAGCGGCAAACAAGAGTGCAAACACTGAACAGGTAAGCATAGCTTTGCTTTGGACGTCTCACGAGGCTTGAGCTTTGTGAGATATGTTCGTCTGTCTCATGTTTGTCTGTGGTTGTTTCTATGGTTCTGAGGTAGGTTGTGCTGCAATGTGTGGGGGAAGAATTCCAGTTGGGTGTGGCCAAGCCTCAAGTTCCCCTCAGCTGAAAACATAGCCCGAAGATTTGAATGCTGGGCTCAGTTGTTCAGTGACCCTAGAGAAAAAACAGGGAACCCTTTTTGGGGAAGACCAGTTTTAGTGGGGCAGCCACAAACCAAAAAAAAAACAAAAACAGGAAAAAGGGTGCCACTGAACAACAGAGTGGGTCATTTCGCAGGGGTCCCCCCAAAGGCCTTGGAAGAAGGGGATCCTAACGAACAACCACCTACCTCATTCGCAGATGGCGGGCTAGAAGCATCTGAAGCAACTCACATGCGCTTGGTCTGTCTAGCCTAGGGCTGCTCCGGAAGTCCTTCCACATGTGAGGAACAAACCGTATCAAGGATAAAGGGTAAGCTTCCATTTGGTCAAGACCCTTGGGAAAGAAAATAAATAAACATATTTCCAGTGTGATAGGTTCCCTTTAAAACCAACTGGGGAAAATCAACATCTACTCTTCAGCAAATGGAAAGAAGTAGCTGCAGGCTGCTTCATCGAGCCACTCGTTGCACCGAAGCCGAAGCCGAAGCCAACGGAGCGGGCGACCTGCTTCCTCCCCCGCTCCCGACTTATTCGTGGAGGACTGGAGGTCCCCGAGGGGCTTTTTGGCCCTTACCAGGGGAATCAACCTCCAACCAGCCGCAAAAAAAAAAAAAGCTACGTTCGCCTCCCGTCCCCAGCCCCATCTTGGGGCACTTGCCCCGAGAAAAGAAGAGTCCCCGGGGAAAAACGGAATCGGAGCCCCTGGGTTGACATGGTTCGTGTCCAGAACCAGCTTTGGTTCGAATACGAAGCACTACTGTGGATGGACGAAATCCTGCACCACCTGAGAAACCCTGGAACGATGATTCCCCTGTAAATACCAACGAACAATGGATTACCATGGTTTCAAAGTGGTGCAGGATTTCGTATGTCCTTTGCAAGGCACACAAAAGCACCCAGGATGCAACCTGTAAGTCTGGTGCTGGAGAAAACCTGCAAGTAGTTTTTATGTTACAACATAACGGAAGCTTGTTTTAATGCAGAAACTCTGAAAAGGATGCAGGAGCCCTACCTTTTTCCAACTAGGGCTGCTTGGAGACTGATGGCGGGGGGTCCTCTAATAAGACAGGACTAGAGGTCGGTGAGTCAACTTCCGGCCGGAGGTTTCTGTTGGTTTCAAAGTGGCTAGTTCAAATATAGTCTTCCCCGACCTAGACTTGTTGAAATTCTCGGAAGACACATATTGTTCGGGGGGGGCCTTTATTAGTAGGAAGAAGGGATCAGACTCCCCTTGGATTATCTTGGATTCATTTGTCTATTCTTCCCCACGAAAAAGGGAAGCATGAAACTGATGGAATTCAAGAGATGCCTCCTGATTCCAGTTTAAAGGGGTTGGGGGCCTCAAGCTCAGTCTGTCTCTTGGTCGCAGGGAATGGGAGAACCATCTTCAAGAAACCATCCCTTGTGCTCTCAAAATGTCCACAGCTGGCTCATCGTCCATGGTCATTAGTCCCCGAGACCGAGCTGCCAACCCCACACAAAGAAGGTTTACCTAACCTCCCGGCCGGTAGAGGACCCCCCCCCCCCGTGGTGGAAATTTGCCCCGACCGTGTTCCAGTCTCAGGTCTCCTTTTCCTCTTTGGCAAAGGTGCCTTAGGACCAAGATGCAAAAAGCCAGAGGTCTTGAATCGTTTTGTTGTGAAATGTTCTATGGAATCTGATTTGCCCTAAACGTCGTTGCGTGAAAGAAATCCACCGAGCTTGTCGACTCTCAAAGGCCCCGTTCTCCTGGTCGAAGATCTTGGCGCGGTCGAAGAGCTCTTGAAAACGTCCTGTTGCCACAAAGGGCCCCGGGTCAGGGATCGTAAACGGATTTCAACGACCCTCCCACCAATTCACATGTCTGACCAAAACCAGCCCTCAACCACCAAGCCACCAATCCAAACCACGAATTACCCTCCCACCAACTAACGTGAGATCCCTGTAACAGGAAAATGGTCCAAGCCAGGACCCCCTAAACGTCAGGTTCCGTGATAATGGGGGGAAGGGCAATACGTCAGCTTGCAGCTTGCAGCTGAAACAAAGGACAACCAATGACAACCATATGTGATCTTGCCCATGTGTTGGAACCCAATCAAGGGGTCATTTGACCACAGCACATATGCATGCGCAAGGTGTGTGTGTGTGTGTGTTAACCAATAGCCTGCAACTCTGTAGAAACATATGAGACATGCACACATTCGAACATCTTCTTGGGGCCGATTCTATTTTTGTGGGAAACCCAAACACAAATGGATTTTCAGCGTGGACTCCGCTGAAGCTTCATGTACCTAAGGGTTGGTTCCAAACTCTCTCCTGTGGCTGGTGATCTGCCTTTTCTTGGGATTGACCAAAGGGATTCAGAGAAGTGCCAGTGAATCACTGCGGGATAGAAGTACCCTAACCCCAACAAAATATGGGCCATGCCCAGCCTGAGCATTTGATCCCCCAAGCAAAAGCGCGAAAAGGGATTCAAACGCAATCCACGAACCTTTCGGGTTTGCAAAAAAGCCACCCCCGCCCCAACAAAAAAACAAAACACTTTTTCTTGGCGGGCGGGGGCTGGGTGGGTGGTTCCCTTACACAAGCCCAACGCCACCAAAACGTCTTCCACCGAATCATTCACACTCACTTCCTTAGTGGAGGGGCCAAAAACAAGTAATTACCCAAACTTGTTGTTTACCACCAAGCTGGTCTTTCCCCAAAAAAAAATCCACAGAAGTCCGAAACGGAGCTCGGGGAGTGAGCAGACCCCCCGCCTTCCACCCAGAGCTTAAAGCGGTCCATCCTCTCCGCGGTGTCGTCGTTGTCCTTGGCCCGCGTCATCTGGAGCTGCGCCTGATGCCCGAAATCGAGCGGAAATCCGCGCAGCAGCCGAAGGGAAGGAGTCGAGTCCGCGTGAAATACCCGCAAGCCATGGGGTGGGTTCCATGGTTTCAAAGGTGCTGCGAAACGGAGTTCGCAAAGCCATCCGCAGCATTGCAAGGAAAGAAGAGAAAAACAAAACAAAAAAGAAAAATACACCGGCATAGACCCCAGAGAGAGCGAAACATCGGCGATATGATTGCGGACCAACAAACCGCGGTGTTTCGTGGGAATCTGAAGAGGAAGACGGAGAAAGGCTGCGACAAGTTATGAACAATGAAAGACGGACCATTTTAATCCGCGAGATGTGGGAATCTGAAGCAAGGAGTGTTCTGCACTGGAGTTGATTGCGTGATTTGACTACTTGAAGCTCTTTAGCCTCTCTTTTTTGAGTGAGAAAAAAAGGAAAAAACACCTGGGAAACCATGGTCTGCCCAAATCCATGAAAGGAAATTGAAAGGCGACCGCGCCTATTTCTGGCTGGGATCAGGAACTAATACTAAGCTTCATCTACCAAGATTTGGATTGTTCCTCATTTTATAGTGAAATTGATCACCCGTGGCTCCCCAACACGTTGAGCGACATATGCATGCGATCCTGTCGCATTTGACCCGCGGTCGACCGTGGAACATACGACCACACACCTGAGGGTTCTGGGGTTTGGTTGCAAAGTGGGTTTCCAGGGCACATTGAGGTGTCAAATGCGACAGTGCTACCTGCGTTGGGCCAGTCCGTTGGATTTCAACCATTTGCTGCGGGCAATTCCCAGATTCGTGTCCCGGGCAGGGCATTTTTGGGTGCCATTTCTTCGGGAACGACTCTGAAAGGCCGCCAAAGGGAAAGGGGGTGAGAATGCAGAAAAGCAAACCCCGAAAAACCATGTGCTCTGACGTTTTTTGTTTTTTTCACTTCTTGGCGGGTCTGGAAAATCGCAAATTGACCCGTCATGACTGCAACCCCAGAAACCGCGGGAAGCTACAAATTTCTCCCCCCATTGCAAATAGAAGGAATCCCAGGCAAGTGGGGCCCGGTTCGGTACCCAACTGGGTGTGGGCGAGCCAGGAACTGCCTTGTGACTCCAACTTCAGGGGTTGATCATGGGGAACTCAGCGGATTTCGAGGGAGCCCCTCAACTCCAAGCAACCGGGGCTAGGAGGTGCAGGCTTCATTTATGAGTGGACACCTTGAAGCAACCCTCAAAAAACAAATGCTACACACTTACGTACTTTTTTGTTCGTGTGTGGTTCCGTTTCTTTTTGTGTTTGTTTTTTGGTTGGGGGGGAGCACATTTTTTTTTGGGGGGGGGGGGGGGTGAAAGCTTGTGGTAAATCTGGTGAAAGCTTGTGTCTGGTGAAGCCTTGTGGCAAACCTGGGGGGGGGATCCCGTAATCTTCAACCAACAGAATTCAACCAGCCACCCCAAGCCTGAGATGGGACAGCGCCTCACCACCCCCAATAGCTATACAAATGAGTCGGGGGCAGATTTGCGAATCGCCGCAAAGGTTGTTTTTTAACGCCAGCTTCATCCTTCCCCTTTGCTGGCTTTGAGGATCTCCCAGAAAGTTGGCTATGTTGACAATCCATCTTTACGAGTAAAGATCCTTCGGG